GCTCAGCGCCCTGGGCCACAGCGGATTGAAAGCCCACCAGCTGCAGCTGAACAACCACCAGACGAAGGGGCTGGAAGAGCAGCTGCAGGTGGGACTGCCTTTGCCTGCGTGCTGACACCTGGGCCCGCGGCCAGCTCGGCAGCCACGCCCGCCCTCCCGGCTGCAGAATCCCTGAGGCGCCGCTTCCTGGGGTCCTCGTGGGAGGACCGATTGGCTGGCTGTGTGTCCCGGAGAAAGTTACTGACCCTCGGAGCTGGGTCTTTCTCATCTGTGGGCTGATATACAGCTGTGTCCACCCCACAGGTTTTTAGGGGGCTGCAGGGAGATAACGTGCATGAAGGGGTAGAGTCTGCGGAAGTGTGAGGTGTTGGGGAGAGGAGGCAGGTTGTTGGGGCAGCAAACTTCTGACGTCTCTCTCTCTCTCATTTCTCTTCCTCAAAGTTTTCCCTGGGCAGCAATATTAGAGTGCAGGTGGGAGGAAACAGCAAAGGGACCTTGAAGGTGAGGGCCCAGGGCGCTGGGTGGGGGACCCAGGAAAGAGGTGGGACTGGGCAGGGGAGGGTGGAGGCGGGTGTGGAGTGGGAGCCCCGTGGGGAGAGTTCCAGGGGCCTGGGGAAGGGGGAGACACCCTGGGCGTGGCGTTCTCTCTGCTTCCTTCCTGGGGTGTCCACCCCACCTTCCCTTTTTCCCCGAGTGCCTGTCATTTCCCTCTCCACCCCTCAACCCAGGAATTCTGGCTCCAAACCCTGTTCCCCAGTCCAGGCCCTTCCCTGACCCACAGGCCCCACTTGTCCCAGAGGCCTTCAGACAAGGCAGGTCCCAAATCCTCTCTTCCTCCTGTTCCCCTCATCTGGCTGGCAGGAGTGCCTTCCCTCTCGGAGCCCAGCTGCCTTAGTAGCCCTTCCCTGAGCTCCTCGTTATGGCTCCAGTAATGCCTCTGGTCAGGCCACCGTCACTTGTGTCACTTATGCTAAGAAAGCTGCACCCCTTCCTGCCGTCTCAGCCCTCAGAGCCATGGTCCATGTGGCAGTGAGACCGATCGTCCCAAAACACCAGGCAGATGTCCCTGGCTGAATGTCCCCCCTCAGCCAGACCCTTTCCTGAACTTTCCTTCCCGGCCTCCTCTGCGCTGGCAGCTTGCTGGCCTCCCGGTGCAGACCCCCATTTCCTCACCTCCCTGTCTCATGCCGTACCTAACACCGGGGTGCATAGGTGCCCGCTCGTGTTGGACTGTTCAGTGAGGGCAGTGAGCAGGGCCGGGGCCCCAAAGCTTTAGCCCAGGGAGATGCCCCAGCTCCCAGCCACCCGTGCTCTCTCCCCACTCCTTGCCGAGCCAGATCCTTCGTGCCTACAACGTCCTGGACATGAAGAACACGACCTGCCGGGACCTCCAGATTGAGGTGACAGTCACAGGCCACGTGGAGTACACAAGTGAGTGTCGGACCAGGGGCCTGAGGGGTTGGTTTGGGGGCCGCGCGGCCGTCTTGACCCCTCCTCACAACACTGCCTGCACAGTGGAAGCAAACGAGGACTACGAGGACTACGAGTATGACGAGCGTCCAGCCAGGGACGACCCAGATGCCCGTGGGCAGCCTGTGACGCCCCTGCAGCTGTTTGAGGGGCGGAGGAACCGCCGGAGGAGGGAGGCACCGAAGTTGGCCGAGGAACAGGAATCCAAAGTGCAGTACACCGTGTGCATCTGGTGGGTGCCAAGCCAGGGCAGCGGCTGGGCCTGGGGGCTGAGACGGGGGCTGGGTGTCTGGAATGCCGGCACCTGGACAGCAGGTGACATGTCTCCCCCGCAGGCGGAATGGCAAGGTAGGGTTGTCTGGCATGGCCATCGCCGACATCACACTCCTGAGCGGATTCCACGCACTGCACGCTGACCTGGAGAAGGTGAGGGCAAGCTCCCAGAGCGACCCTTCTGCCCTCAGGAGCCCTGCTCCAGCCCGGTGCAGGATCAGGGCCACCAACCTGTGACCGTCTGCCTCCTCACAGCTGACCTCCCTCTCTGACCGTTACGTGAGTCACTTCGAGACGGAGGGGCCCCACGTCCTACTGTACTTCGACTCGGTGAGTGGGGAGAGGGCACATGGGAAGGGGATCGATGGCACCAGGTTTACCAGGGCTGGGTCGCAGCACAGTAGCTTCAGTGGCCAGTGTTCTGGGGAACCTGCGACGTAAGGGAGACAGGACGACGTGAATCACTCGAGTCCCGGCAGGGTTGGGGGCAGGCCTCCAGGGGGACAAGGACACAAGGACAGTGCGGTCCAGGGAGCGACCAGAGGACTCGACAGAGCCTTCGGTGAAGCTGATTTTGTTCAACCTGAGGGGCTGCCTTTGTTCCTAGTGCCTTTGGTCTTTGGTATTCAAGAGTATTTTCTTTTACAAAGCACTGGCGATCAGAGATGACACTTCTATTTGTCTTTTTGTATTTTGCCTTTTGTGGCTAAAACACAGAGCTATCCATCCTGACAGCCCTTGAAATTTTTTTTTTCTTGAACATTTACTGTGGCTGCTGGGAGGAAACGTGAGAAAAGTGTTGGGGTAGCATGAGCCTGTATCTGTGGGCCTGTGAAGACCCCCTGCTCAGTGTGTGCACGCAGGCCACGCTGAGAGTCTGGGTTCAACACAACAGAAAGTGCACAGCCAGGAAGACATCTGGGCAGGGAGTTGACGCCGAGGCAGCCCCGCCAGGAGGGAGAGGGTCTGGGTGCCGGGCTGGGCAGTCCTAAGTGGGCACGAGCAGGTGCATGGGGCCAGAGCGGTGCAACCTCAGAGGCGACTGGAGGTGGGTTTGGGGGCAGGCCGAGCACGCTGGCCAGGTTACCAGTCCTGCCACTGTCCTGACGGAGGCGTGCAGCTGAAGGCCCAGTTTGGGAATCAGCAGCCTGGACGGGTTTGGTGGAAGCCAGGGAGCGATGGAGACTCCCACAGCGGGGCACAGAGGAAGGAATAGGCAGGGCTGGGCCCTGTGGTTCCGGGAAGGGAGAGAGAGGGGCTATAAGGAACCACCAGGCCAGAACTAGGAACGGTCAGAAACCAATCCTCCTCTCAGCGAGAGTCTCAGAACGTGTCCATGACACGAGACTCTGCGGAGCGCCCGGGCCAGCAGATGGGGAGAAGGTCACTGTCTGGGCGGTGAAGTCAGCAGAGACCTTGGGAGCAGCATGCAGCCTTCTGGCAGCAGGAAGGCACGGGAATGTGAAGGACACCGAAGATAAGGCCAATGGCAACGATAGAGGTGGGCCAAGGAGATGAGGCCTGGCAGCCCGCCAGGCCCGGGAAACGGGGCCTGGATCTCTCCTCTCCACCTGGCGCCAGGTCCCCACAACCCGGGAGTGCGTGGGCTTCGGAGCTGTGCAGGAGGTGGCGGTGGGGCTGGTGCAGCCGGCCAGCGCAGCCCTGTATGACTACTACAACCCCGGTGAGCCCCCGGGAAGCCCTGGCTGCCAGGGAGTTTTGGGATAGGTGCCCTCGCACGGGACCTCAGGAACCCGGGGCTGGGAAGGGTATCGGGGAGTCCTGGGGAAGCAGAGGGCAGGGCCCCGCACCCTCATGCCTCCTCTTGTATTCTCCAGAGCACAAGTGTTCTGTGTTCTATGGGGCGCCGAGTAAGAGCAGACTGCTGTCCACCTTGTGCTCTGCTGACGTCTGCCAGTGTGCTGAGGGTGAGAGGCCAGGCCTGCGCAGGGCGGGGGGAGGGGTGTTCGGGGCCCCCATGGCCTCACTTGGGCCCTGCACCCCAGGGAAGTGCCCCCGCCAGCGCCGCGCCCTGGAGCGGGGGCTACTGGAGGAGGACGGTTACAGGATGAAGTTTGCCTGCTACTATCCCCGCGTGGAATACGGTCAGTGCACCTGCCCTGAGCACTCGGCGCCCAGGGCTTGGTCTCTCCCCTCGCGGGCCCATGCGGGCGCCCTCTGCTCTGACACGGACCCGGGGCTCCCCGGCCTCAGTACCTAATCCTGCCCTTCTAATGCCCGCTCAGGCTTCCAGGTTAAGGTCCTCCGAGAAGACAGCAGAGCAGCTTTCCGCCTCTTTGAGACCACCCTCACCCAAATCCTGCACTTCAGTAGGAACAGAGCTGGGGTGGGCGGGGGGCAGGTGGGGAGGCTGAGCTCTGGGCTCAGGGCCTGGCTGCCTGGGCTCATGAGCACCCCAGCAAGTCTAAGCACTAATGACCTGGGCCTCTTAGAAGCCCTGGGTGGGGCCCAGGGGGAAAAAGGGAGGCGGTGGCCCCGCCTGCCTGGGAGTCACAGGGGTTATACAAGAGGGACTGCGCCTTCTCTTCCCCTCAGCCAAGGACACCAAGGCCACTGCTGGCCAGAACCGTAACTTCCTGGTCCGGGCCTCCTGCCGCCTTCACTTGGAACCTGGGAAAGAGTATTTGATCATGGGTCTGGACGGCGTGACCCAGGACCTCAAGGGAGAGTGAGTCGCCTGGGCCCCTCGGTCTCTTGCTGTCCCCAGACCTGACCACTTTCCTTAGGGGACAGATTGCCATCCCCTGCCCTGTGGGAAGCCAGGCACCTCGTGTGTTCTGTCGCCGCCCCACCCAGCCTCCTGAGCCCTGCTGACAACCCTTCGCCCCTGCAGTCCCCAGTACCTGCTGGACTCGAACAGCTGGATCGAGGAGATGCCCTCGGACCGCCTGTGCCGGAGCACCCGCCAGCGGGCAGCCTGCAACCAGCTCAGCAACTTCCTCCAGGAGTACGGCACCCAGGGGTGCCAGGTGTGAGTGCCGCTCTCCCACCTCCCCAGGAGGAGGCCAGAGCCAGCGAAGGGGATGCCAGGAAGTGCTGCTGCTCCTGGCCCTCGAACCCAGCCCCCCGGGGCATAATAAAGGCCTTTGGCACCAGTGTCCGCGTGTGTGTCTCTAGGACTGACGGCAGGGCCCCCACTGCCCATACTAGGTTCTGGGGGTCCCGGGCAGGCTTGCACTGTCTCCCACTCTCATGCCCGGCCCACCCTCGGCTGTCCCGCTCTGCCCCTCCCTCCCAGGTGGTGCACGAGGAGCTCAGTCCAGCCCGGGACCACCCTGAACAGGACTGCGAGCCAATAGCACATCCTGAGGACGAGAGTCCACCGCGAGGCCTCCTCTTTCACGCACTTCCAGCCACCGCTGCCCGGAAGCTGCTGGTCCTGGAGGCTTGGGTGGGTCTGGTGCTCAGCTGACACCATAGCCCTTTTGCCTATGAGCATACCCCCCTCTCTGTCCTCAGCCCAGCCAGCCCTGGGCAGCTCTGGGGGCTTTTGAAAGTCTGTTGACACTTGATCTTGCTATCAGTGCCATTAGGTAACTTCCTGACTTGTGCAATCCCAGGCCTGGTGCTGTCTTTATCCAGGCACTGACTTTACACAAGCAGAAAGGTTGACTTTGGTTTGTTTGTCAGTTCTACTGGGGCCAACTCTCCCCACCCTGCTGCTTAGCTTTTCCCTCGTGGTGGCTCCCCTGGGGTCATCAGGGGGTGACCTAGAAGTCCATCCAAGAAACCTGAGATCTGGGGTGGGAGCACCAGGTAGGCTGCAACTTGGGGTGCTTCCACCCCATTTTTGAGTGCTTGGGATCGAGTCCTACTGCTGCTTCCCATCCAGCTTCTTGCTAATGTACACCCTGGAAGCCAGCAGGCGATGGCTCAGCTACTTGGGTCCCCGCCACCCATGTGGGAGACCTAGATAGGGTTCTTTGCTCTGGCGTTGGCCTGACCCAGCCATAGCTATCGTGGTGTTTGGGAAGTGAACCAGACGACAGAAACTCTCTCAGTGTCACTCTGCCTTTCAAATGGATAAAAATAAAACACAAGAACATACAAGTGTTTGGAATTGCATGGCATTCGATCTTCAGACCATCTCTGGACCTGAGATACAGCTACTCGGTGCAGGAGCTCATCACTGGAGGAGGCAGACAGGACAGGCAGTTTCCACCTTCTGTGAGCGATGAGATAGCAGGGAGCTTACATGGTCCTGTGGGTCTCTAGCCTTGTTGGGGCAAGGGCCAGAGACATCAGAGAAGGCTTCCTGGAAGAGGTGACATCTTGCTTACGTGGCCTTGTGGTTGCCCATCAGCCCTTTCTCCATAAAGCTGGCCCACACGGTGGTGGCAGAAACCCACTTCCCCAAGGCCCAGCTGCAGTTGTGATGAGACGTGGCCTGGAGGTGACAGTCCTAGCAATCCTACCCACCTCTCCCTCTTGGTTGTAGGCAGGGATCCAGGCCAAGCCTGAGCCTCTTCCACCAGGGCGCCCAGGGACTAACTCATCTAACAAGTGGGTGGCACGGCCAGGGTCTCAACTCGGGCTCTCCAGCAGCACAGCCTGTGCTCTGGGTAGAGTTCCAAGGAGGAAGGAGTCTGTCTACACGGCCAGGAGTTGGGAGGCACTGTGGACCTAAGCTCACGCCTCTCCCAGGCAGCCCCTGAGCCCTGCCAGCCCTCTCTCTCCAAGCCCCTCCACTGCCTCCTTTCCCCCGAGGGCCTGGCAGGCAGTTGGTTCAGTGGGACCTCACCCCTCTGGCTACCTGCACAGGGTTCGATCCCCATCCAACTGTGGCTATCGAGCCCCTTCCTGCTGGTTTTGGAATTGATGGGGACGTGCAGTTGTGCCAGGAAGCCACCTGTCCCAGGCTGGACTGGCCACCGCGGACCCTGGCTCTGAAGGCAGCCCTGTTCCATTCCACCTGCCCCTGGGACCCAGAAACTTCACTGCCAGGACAGAGAGGAGCGAGGGTGGGGACACGCCCATCTCTGGGCCTTTTCTGTTCCCTAACCCCGACTTTCCCCACCCCTGCCCACCTTCTTTCCTGTTTTTCGGTTCTGTGAGATGCCCCTGTTTGCATCTTAAGCCAGCTCAGGTCTCTTCCTTGCAAGCAAAGGTGTTCCTGGTGGTTAAAGGTTCAGATTCTACAGCCAGATCGGGAGAAATGAATCCTGGCTCTGCCCCTTCCTAGCTGTGCTCTTGGGCCAGTCACTCGCCCCTCACCTCATTGTCCCCATCCACTAAATGGGGACAGTACTAGTGTTGCATACACAGTGCAGCTTGGAAGGGTTGAGTGAATACAGGCAAAGCACTTAGAACAGTGTTGTGCTGGGTGGCCAGTGCCCCAAAATGGGGCACCATGTAATACTTTGTTTTTGGGACACTTTGCAGAATGAAAAAGGGCACTATTCATATTTTCCCTGGAATGACAGGCAAGCAAGACCAATCCGTAAGTTTAAGAAAATGCAACAAAGCAAACAGGCAGGCATTTGGTCTAGTGGCTGACACCCACCCGTGTGCCATATTGGAGTGTTGGGGTTTGACGCCTGGCTGCACTTCCTGATCACAGCTCCCTGCTCATGCGGACTCTGAGAGGCAGCAGGTGACGGCTCAGCTAGGAAACCTGTACTATGTTCTCGGACGCAGGCTCTCGCCCCACCAGCCCCAGCTGTTGTGGCATTTGAGGAGCAAATCAGCAGAAGGGCTCTTTTTCTCTCTGCCCCTCAAGTAAAAAGCAAGCAAATGAAAACCCCGGACAGATCCCTTCCATCTTGTGTGCTCTTCAGGCACTCCCGGAGGGCACGTTCGACAGGGACCACCGAGCCTCATGCGAGCAATTTCGGGGTGCAGTGGGAGAGGGAGACGGCCCGGGCTGGCAGGTGGACGCGCTGGCCCCCGTGGCCAACATGGAGCTGGAAAGTTAATGCTGGCGGCACAAGAAAGGTCAGGGTCGCCTTTCCCTTTTCTTCTTGATGGATGGTCCACGCTTTGAAATGGGGACTGTCCAAGGCCAATGAAACTGGCACCATTCCAGGAAATTGCCACTCTGTGGGCGGGACAGTGACAAGGGACTGGAGGGCAGGGGTGAAGCCCAGGCAAGAGGAGGAACGGCCAGGGCCCAGGAGTTATAAGTGGCTGTGCCACGGCCTCTGCGTGGCTCCCCAGCCATGCTGCTCCTTGGGTTGCTGCTGCTGCTGGCCCTGCTGGCTGCTGCCCGCCTGCTGTGGGGCCAGTGGAAGCTCAGGAGCCTCCACCTCCCACCTCTTGTCCCAGGTTTCCTGCACCTGCTGCAACCCAACCTCCCCATCTATCTACTTGGCCTAGCTCAGAAATTCGGGCCAATCTATAGGCTCCGCTTCGGGCTGCAAGGTGAGAGCCCCTTCCCTCCCCAGGCCCGCCCTGGGAGGGCCAGCAGAGTCCTCTCGCTGCTAACACCGCTCTGGCTCTTCCCCAGATGTGGTGGTGTTGAACAGTAAGAGGACCATTGAGGAAGCCATGATCAAAAAGTGGGTGGACTTTGCCGGCAGACCCCCTGCGCCGAGCTGTAAGGGCTGCATGCGTTTCTTGGGGGCAGAATAAGGGGCTGGGGGCGGCAGGTGGTCAGGCCCTTGGCTGCTTTGGGCACCTCCCACTGGCCGCCCCCACATCTGTCCACAGACAAGCTGATATGTGAGCACTACCCGGACCTGTCGCTAGGGGACTACTCCCTGCTCTGGAAAGCCCACAAGAAACTGGCGCGCTCGGCCCTGCTGCTGGGCATCCACGACTCCATGGAGCCGCTGGTGGAGCAGCTAGCCCAAGAGTTCTGCGAGGTGAGGCGGGGCTCCAGGGCGCCGCAAGCCCCGCCCCCCGGCGGCGCCCCGCCCCCGGCCTGCTTAGCACCTGCTCCTCCACAGCGCCTGAGAGCCCAGGCCGGCGCCCCCGTGGCCATCCAGGAAGAATTCTCTTTCCTCACCTGCAGCATCATCTGTTCCCTCACCTTCGGAGACAAGGTCACCCCTCGGGCTCCGCCCCTCGGCCCCTCCCCTCCCCCCTCGGGCCCGACCTGAAAGGGTCCCCTCATTCCCTGTCAGGAGGACACCTTGGTGTGGACCGTTTACAACAATGTCCAGGACTTGCTGAAGGCCTGGGGCCACTGGTCCGTCCAAATGTTGGACATGGTTCCCTTTCTCAGGGTGAGGAGGTGAGCCCTGGGAGGAGGGGAGGGGCTGGAGGAAGGGGCCCCACCCCCGGCAGCCATACTCTCGGTGGCCCCGCCCCAGTTCTTCCCCAACCCAGGCGTGTGGAGGCTGAAGCAGGTCTTAGAGCACAGGGACCGCATCGTGGAGCGGCAGCTGAGACGGCACAAGGTGGGCGCTGCTGGGGCAGGGGCGGGGCTCCGGCGTCGCCTGCTTGCCGGGCATCCCCCCCATACCTCTCTCCCGCTGCCCCCACAGGAGAGCCTGGAGGCCGGCCGGTGCAGGGACATGATGGACTACATGCTCCACGGGGTGGGCCGGCAGAGAGAGGAGCAGGGCCCCGGACAGCTCGTGGAAGGTCACGTGCACATGGCCGTGGTGGACCTTTTCATTGGCGGCACCGAGACCACGGCCATCACCCTCTCCTGGGCTGTGGCGTTCTTGCTTCACCACCCTGAGGTGCACCCTGGGGCCAGGCCAAAGGCTCCTTCCTGGAAGCCCGTCTAGGGGCCGCCTTCCTGCAGTCAGCATGAAGGCCGGGCTGGGGCCGGGGGTGGCTGGGGCAGGGCCTGGCCACTGGACTCCAGCCTTGTCCCCATTTCCAGATTCAACGGCGGCTGCAGGAGGAGCTGGACCTCGAGCTGGGCCCCGATGCTGCGGGCTCCCGGGTCTCCTACAAGGAACGGGCGCGGCTGCCCTTGCTCAATGCCACCATCGCGGAGGTGCTGCGCCTGAGGCCCGTGGTGCCCTTGGCCTTGCCGCACCGCACTACACGGCCCAGCAGGTGACCCCCGAGGCTCAGGGCCCGGTGAGGAACGCCCAGCTCATCCGGGCCAGCCTCTGACTCCGTCCTCCTGCAGCATCTCGGGCTACGACATCCCTGAGGGCACGGTCATCATCCCCAACCTCCAGGGCGCCCAGCTCGACGAGACTGTCTGGGAGCAGCCCCACGAGTTCTCCCCGGGTACACAAGGGCGGCTGGGTGCCTGGGCTCGGAGGTGGGCCCCACGGCTGCTGCACACCCAACCCCTGCCCTTTCTGTCCATTGCCCCACAGACCGCTTCCTGGAGCCAGGCAAGAGCCCCAGGCTGCTGGCTTTCGGCTGCGGGGCGCGCTTATGCCTGGGAGAACCGCTGGCGCGCCTGGAGCTCTTCGTGGTGCTGGCGCGGCTGCTCCAGGCCTTCACGCTGCTGCCGCCCGCGGGCACCCTGCCCTCTCTGCAGCCGCTGTCCTGCAGCGGCGTCAACCTCCTGATGCAGCCTTTTCAGGTGCAGCTGCAGCCCCGTGGCCCGGGTGCCGCGAGCCTGGGCCAGGGTCAGTGACCGGGTAGGACCAGTGCCAGCCGCGTGCCTCAGTTTCTCCTTTATTGCTCCTGTACAAACCCTCCCCTCCCCCCTGTAAACATGGTGCTGTGAGATCGCGGGCAGAGAAGGTTTTTCCGGGCAGCCCCGGCTCCTCCTCTCTCGCGCGCGACCCCTCAGTGCTCGGCCGTCACACCGGGGTGCGAGAGGCGGGCCGCGGCTCAGCCGCCCTCTGCTGGCGACCTGTAGCTTCTTGGTCTCAGCTTCATTTCCGTGAAGGGCACCGAGAAGTCGAAGCCCTTCCAGTGGTACCAGCTCACTCCCTGGAAGAGGGTGGTCCCGGGTGCGGAGGTCAAAGCTGGGCCTCACCGCTGCCCGAGCCCGCCCCATAGGAAAGCAGCCGACCCCCCGCCCCTGTAACCCCCACCGCAAAGGACTGAGGCTGGATCCTGCGCGGGCCCTGCCCATCCAATAAACCCTCTGCTCACGGGAACCCAGCTGGGGCGGCATTATTAACCCATTCCCAGGCGACGCTGGGGCGCAGGCCTGTGCGGTCACATCACAGGGCTCAAGGCCGCTCGGCGGCCCCCCAACCACCCTACCCCCTCACCTGGTGGTCCACGATGCTCCCGTAGAGCCCGTTGAGGTTGGCGTAGTGGCAGTTCCGGTACCACCAGGCCCCGCGGTAGGAGACAGCGCAGGAGATGAGCAAGTTGTTGGGGTCTCGATCCCGAGCGGAAAAGACGCTGCCGCTGTGGTAGCTCATGGAGTCCCCTGCGCAGGGCGAGGGAAGGTGCGGTGAGGGCCTCGCCTGTCGGGCCCGCCCGCGCGGCCCCGGGCCCGCCCTTACCTGCAGTGCCCCGGTAGCCCTCCAGGTGGAGGCGGTAGTGCTCGGCAGCCGAGTCCACGCGGAAGGAGTCGTACTGCGCGTACACGGCCTCATCCCCCGCCCGCAGGTCCACGCGCATGGAGTAGTCGCCCGCCTGCGTCAGGCTGTGCAGGGCCTCGTTGCCTGAGGGCGGGCGGGGGGGTTGTGTCCTTGTCAGGGTCCTGGGGGCCACAGGACAGCCCCATCCCCTCCCTAGTCCCGCAACCCTGTGAGGCACTGACCCAGCCAGAACTCCCCAGAGATGTTCCCAAAACCGTGGGCGTAGTCTTCCCAGTCCCTCCAGAAGTCCGTCTGTCCGTCCATGCGGCGCTGGAACACCTGGGAAGCAGGTAGGGGGCGCTGTGAGCCTCTGGCTGCGCAGCTGCAGCCACGGCCCTGCACGGACGGGGAGCCCGCGGCCGCCACCCACCAGCCAGCCGCCGCCATCAGTCTCCATGTCGCAGAACACGTCCAGGGGCCGCTCGCGGTTGCCGTTGAGGAAGATGGTGGTGGTCCCTGAGGAGCCGACGCCGTTCTGCATCTCCTCGATGCAGTCTCTGGGGAAGGGGATCCGAAGCCCGCCTGGGGAGGGAGCATGGGGGCTGGTCCGCTAGCCACGCCCAAGAGCCCCGCCGCCCACCCAGCCCTGAGCTCGGGCCTCAGCCCCGGTACCGGTGGTGAAGGAGGTGGACAAGGGCGGTGTCAGGCTCTGGCCCCACATGGCGTGGAGCCGCACGTTGTACAGGGTGGAAGGAAACAGGCCGAGGAGCTGGTGCGAGGTGACCCCTCCCGGGAGCAGGATCTCCTGTGGCACAGATAAGGGGTGGGTTGGGGCCCGGGAGGTGGAGACCCTCCCAGGGGAGCCAGAGCAGCACCTCTGGAATTAGCTCAGGGTGCGGAGTTGGCCACTGGGTGGGGATGGAGGCACCTGGGTCTGTTCTCCAGGGGTGTCCAAGCTGAGTAGGTAGCCTGTGGGTGGGACTTGGGGTTCAGTCCAAGTGAGCAAGGCCGTGCGAGGGGTCACCTCCTTGGCCTCCAGGTCTTGGGGGGCCTTCAATCCTGGTGGGGGACGGTGGCGAGACAGGCTGGATTCTGAGGCCCTTCCTGACCCCCTCAAACCTCTCCTCCCCCGTCCTGCGCGGCCTCCCGGGCCACACCTGTGGTGAAGGAAATGCTAGCCGGGGAGGTGAAGTTGGGGCCCCGCAGGCCACGCACGGTGGCCGTGTAGTTGATGTGGAGTTCGAGGTCCTGCAGTGGGTAGTCCACAGCGCTGCCTGGGGCTGAAGCCTGGAGGGGCGGGGCTGCAAGGGGAGTGGGCATCAGCTCCGCCCCCTCCGTGCCTCCCCCTCCCACCCCGCCCACAGAGCAAGTCCTTGACAGAGTCTCCACCCTGCTCACCCCCGGGCGCTGTGACCCGGACGTTGTATTTGTCCACTGGGGCCTGTGGGGGCTTCCAGTGCAGCAGGGCAGATCCGTCGGTTAAGTTCAGGGCACGAAGCTGAGTAGGGCCGTCGGGAGCTGGAAGAGGGTAGGGGGCTCAGTGGGGTCCCTGCTGTTCTCCCCACCCCTGGCCTTCCCAGCCCCGCCAGGCCTCTGGTCTGCAGAGGGAGCCTCCAGCGCCTCCCTGTCTGCCTCCCGGTTCACCCTCGTTTTCTCGGGCCCCCTGCTTCCTGCCCCAGCCCCCAGTCCATCTCACCCGTGGTGAGGAAGCCTGTGAGAGGCTCACTCTCCTCGAAGCCGCGGACGGATACCACGGTCACCTCGTAGCGAGTGCCTGGCGCCAGCCCCTGGAGTTGATGGGTCTCGGCCCGGCCGTCCACCTGCACACTCTGTGGCTCCCCTGAAAACACAGTGGGGGCTGGGAAGCTGCCCAGGGAACCCCAGAGCAGCAGGAGGATGGGCAGAGCGCGGGGGGCAGGGGAACCGACAGCAAACAAGGAGAGGGGCAAAAAAAGGGGGTCACCTCCGTCCGCCAGCTGGTAGGAAACTTTGAAGCTGTCCACCCTAGAGGGCGGGGGCAACCAGGTGACCTTGGCTGAGGTCTCTCTGATGTCAGTGAATTGGAGGTCACGGGGGCTCTCCAGAACTGGGGACGGGGACAAGGCATGAGGGTGGGGAACAGGGGCGGGGCTGCCGTCCAGCGCCAACACCCCTCCGGTCTCTCCCACCCCCTTTCCCTAGGCCCTGGGAAAGGAAGTCACCTGTAGATTCCTCCAAGCCCCACCCCTCCCCTACTCTGGCTGAGGCACTAGGCGGTGCAGAGTACAAAGGCCCCACTGTGGGGCGCTGTGCCTAGCTTGGGGCAGTCCTCACCTGGGCTGAGGGTGCGGGCGGTGCCCTGGATGCTGTCGGCCTTGTACGGCCCCCGCAGCCCGTACAGCGTTAGGCTGTACAGGGTGCCGGGCCGCAGGTCCCGGAGCACGGCCGAGCGCCGCGTGCCCGGCACCATCAGCTCCCGCTGCAGCAGAGGTCGCAGGTGCGGCTCCAGGGTGCTCGGCGAGGGGACCCCGAAGCGGAGCAGGAAGGAGTCAAAGGCCCCGAGTGGGGCCTCCCAGTTGAGCCGCAGTGAACTGGTGGTCACATCGGTCACCGACAACTGGGACAGACGGGGCCCCAGTACCCCTGGGGTCTGACCAGCAGGAGCTGGCCCTGCACAGAGAGGGTGGGAGGGAAGGGTTTGCAGACTGAGGGGCAGGTCTCGCCCAGCCGACCGTCACCCTGCCCTGGCCCTCCTTCCCCATCTGTAAGGCGGAGCTAACGTGCAAGCACAGGCTGACGATGGCAGCCTCAGGTGGGTCCCCTTCCTCCTCCTCATGCTCCTCCTATGATCACCACTTCTGGGCACCCCCAGGCCCCCTTCCCGACTGCAGACAAGAGGCCAGGCCTCGCGCACCTGTGGTGCCCTCCACTGAGAGGGGTCCCAGGCGCATCCCTTCATGGAGCCCGTAGAGGAAGAACTTGTAGGTGGTGCTGGGCTCCAGGGCCGTGATGAGGACCTCGTTCTGGTCGCTGTCCACCAGCAAGGCCTGGGGCTGCCCCTCTGCGTCCTGATACTGGACCACGAAAGAGTCGAAGGGGCCCTGGGCCACACTCCACGAGAGGCGCAGGGAGTCGGGGGCTGTATCAGTCACCGCCAGCTCCCCCAGGCGGAGCTCTTCACGGTGCTCAGGGGTCTCAGGGGTCTCGGGGGCCGGTGTGTCCTCGTCGGGGGCCGGTGTGTCCTCATCAGGGGCCGGTGTGTCCTCCTCGGGGGCTGCGTGGGAGAAGCCCAGGGAAGGAGCTGAGCTGGGGGTGTCACGGGGCCTTCCCCGTCCCATCTTACTCCCCAAAGAGGGAAACCGGGGCTCCTAGGGCTGGCCCAAGGCTGGGGCGGGGACTACCCAGGGCCTCTTGGCAGTCAGGTGGAGAGGAGGGAGCCAGGACCTTCCAATAGTTTCCTCCTCGAGAATTGAGCACAATGCTGCTTTGGCACTGACTCCCCCTGCTTCCCTGGGGCCTCTCTGAGCTCCAACACTGTGGCCTGTCTCCTGCTCCAGAGGCTACTGTGGCCCCTTACTCCTCCATGGGCTCCTGGGTGACATCTGGGTCAGGCTTGTTTTCCCTTCCCTGACCCCAGGGTCCCCCACTTCCAGCCCACCCTGGACACTTGCACCTGTCCCCCACCCCGGGACACCTGTGCTGACGGCCTCAGCAGCCACTGAGCTCGGGGCCCTGGCTCCGAGGTGAGGGGGTGCTGGCTGGTGAGTGTGGCAGGCCGGCCACATGGCAGCACCATCCCAGTCCCGGGCTCTGGCCAGGCTGCCCTCGGGGGCTGTTGGCAGCTTCGATGAGAGGAGTCTATCGCATAAATGCAGCCATTTCTCCAGCCTCTGTGTCCCTGCCCACTGCCCGTCCCAGTGATTTTCCGCTTGGGAGAGCACCCCTGAATCACCCACAGGAGCAGATTTGCCCTGATTTGGGCAAGGACCCCCAGCAGGGTGGGGAGGAGGCGCTAAGACGCTGAGCAGTGGGTGGTGACGGGGCAGAGAGCCAAGGCCAGGAGGCCACGGGGCCTCGCCCAGCCTAGTCCAGGATCAACCAGGGCTGACGTGGCCGTGAGCTCCTCCTCCTGGCCCCCGCTGCCCGCTCCTGCCAGTCCTGCTTCTTCGGCCTGCTTGCCTCACCTGTCACTCCCAGGGCTGAGATGGGGCCCAGGCGCTTCCCTCGGAGGAGCCCATAGAGGAGGAACTTGTATCTCCTGCCCGGCGCCAGGCCCTCTATGGTGGCCTCCCGCTGGTCCGCAGCCACAGGCACTGCCTGTGGCTGCCTGTCTGCGTCCCTGTACTGGATCACGAAGGCATCAAAGCGGCCCTGGGTCACCGTCCACGCCAGGCGCAGGGAGTCCACGCTCTCGTCCGTCACTGCCAGCTCGCCCAGGCGGGGTGGGGGCTGCGGCTCCTCCTCCAGGGGTGCTGCGGGGAGGGTAGGGGTGCTCTCAGGCGGGCACCGAGCCAGCTGCCAGGGGCTGGGAAGGGCCCTGGGTGGCACAGACAGACAGGCAGGACTACCCCTGGGGTGTGAGAGCCTTGTCTCCTCTCTGGAGGCCACTGCCCAACTCCCTCCCACCCCTGAGGGTGGAGAGGGGGCCTGCACTGCCCCTGACCCAGAGACACCACAAACAGAGCTGGGCTGGCAGCTCACGGGCTCCCAGTGCCGGCCATGACAGCACCCCCCACTCCCTGGGCCATCATCACAGACCACCCCCTCCACCTGCTGCCCCAGGGCAAGGTTGGAGAGAAGCCAGGGGCAAGCAACTGAAGGGCCCGGCCCAGGTTGGGTATGTGCAGAAGTGGGGGATCCGGTCCCCACAGTGGGGCTTTGGGGAACAATTACGGGCCCCCACTGGCTGGCTGCTTTGTCCTCTGGCCAAGGTGACTCATGGTCTGGGGAGCGGGCGAGGGTCAGTGACCCACCCCACCCCTTCCTCCAGGGGGCTGAGTCATGGGCACGACAATGACAGTGGATTTTTCCAGTCTTTCTGCAGCCAAGCCTCCCCTTATTTTCCATCTCTTGCCTCCGAGGTGGATGGGCACCCTTGCTGAGTGCCAGCGGGTGGTGTTTGCCCCCGCTGGGCCGGGGAGAGGCAGCTTGGGGAGCGAGGCAGGGATGGGTGTGCCCTTTGCTGCCTGTGACCTCAGGGAGCACACGAGATGTGGCGCCTGGGCCTGCCCTGTGCTTTTGCTGTTATGGTTGTATGCTAGGGCTGAAGGCAGGAGCCATTTCATGGGGCGGCCATGGGGGCAGCACCCCGCTCACCCGTGGTGCCGTCGGCAGAGAGGGGGCCCAGCCGCTTCCTGCCCGCCAGGCCATAGAGCAGGAACCTGTACTTCCTACTGGGCTCCAGGCCGTGGACGGTGAGTTCGCGCTGGTCTGCAGCCACGGGCACCATTTGCAGCTGGCCAGCTCTGTCCTTGTGCTGGACCACAAAGGAGTCGAATTCACCCTCGGGGACCGTCCAGGAGAGGTGCACAGAGTCAGCAGTTGTGTCTGTCACGGTCAGCTCCCCCAGGCGGGGAGAGGGCTTCATATCTGCGGCTGAAAAGAGAGGGAGGGGCGTGGAGGGTAACAGAGACCATGACAGCCATGGAGGCTGCCCAGCTGCCTCCCTGGGCTGTGGCTCTGGGAGCCGAGAGGGGGGCTGGGGCAGGGAAAAAGAGGAGCCGGGCAAGAAAGCAAGTGCCCCCTGGGATGAAGGGAGAGGAAGGGAGCAGGATGAGAATGAGGGGGAAAGGAGTGCTCAGGGCTGGATTTCACTGGACTCCAATAAACCGATGTGGGAGCCTGGGGCCCAGGAACATGCAATTCCAACTGACGCCACCAGGGGGCAAAGGGTAGCCTCCAGCCCTCACTCACCAGTTTTTGCATCCACAGACACTGGGCCATGGCGTTTCCCATCTTGGAGTCCAAACAGAAGGAACTTGTACTTGCGGGCCGGCTCCAGCCCCGAGACAGTGACCTCACGGAGGTCTCTGCTTGCTGGCACTGACTGCGGCTGTCCCTGTGCATCCTTGTATTGGACCAGGAAGGAGTCGAAGGGACCCTGGGCCACCGTCCAGGAGAGGTGCACGGCATCTGAGCTCACTGTTCCCACAGACAGCTCCCCCAGGCGGGGCTCCAAGGGAGGCTGTGTGGGCAAGGGGGCTGGAACACAGCAGAGGAGGTGAACCGGTCTGGAACCTGCCACCAGAGGGAGTGCCTTCCCCAGGCTGTGCACCCAACATTTCCCAGCAGCCTTTGCTAAAGTGCTGCAGCTGGCCACGCGCTGGGGAGAGAAGCAGGTGCCCTTATGACTAGCACCGATCTTGTAGGGATCGAGGCACAGAGGGGTTAGGAAACGCCTGTGACGCCGGGCAGGACTTTTGGAGGCAGACTCAGCCCCAGGGAGCCATGCCCTCCTGAATCTGCTGAGTTCCCAAAATCTTCCAGAACAGAAGCACAGAACGTAAGGAAGGAGCAACAGAGCAAGACCAGGGTGAGAGCAGGGTTCCAGCGGAGTCCCCCTTCATGCACAGCCAGGGAAAGCATGAGGCAGGATCCTTAGCAGCATTAGAGAAAAGAGAGGAATGCAAGAGCCGCTGTCAGGGAAGAAGCAGTGAGCAACAGGAGGAAACCAGGGGTCAGATGTCGCCCCTCACTCACCGGTCATGCCCACGGTGGACACGGGGCCCACGCGCCGGCCCTCGTGCAGGCCGTACAGGTGCATCTTGTACTTGCGTCCCGGCTCCAGGCCCCACACAGTCACCTCGCTCTCCTCACCCCCGACTCGCACCACTTGGGGCTGCCCGTCCCTGTCCTTGTACTGGACGCTGAAGGAGTCGAAGTGGCCCTGGGGGACGGTCCAGGAGAGGCCCAGCGAGTCCGGGGACGATGCTGTCACCGTCAGCTCCCCCAGGAGGGGCTCCTCGGGGGGCTCTGGGGCCTCCATGCTGGGCTCTGTGGGGCTGGGGGTCTCGTCCACCTCTGTGGGGGCGGGGGTCTCTTCTTCTGCAGCTGAGAAGGGGAGACAGGGAGGTGAGGCAGGGCTCCTGGGACACGTCCTGGAGTCTTGGGGACAGGAGAGGGAGCCACGGCCACGACTGGGATCCTGAGGTCACTTCCAGGCAGCCTGTCCTTGGGGCTGGAATCCAGCTCGACTGACAGCTAACAGACACACTCCTGCTCCAGGTCACCCGTGGGGAACCCGGGGTAGCCACCAGCACAGCAGTGCTCCCCACAACTCCTCATGCCCAGGAGGGGGCAGAGCTGAACCCACAGGAAGGCATAACAGGGCCAGGGCCACAGCCACAGCAGGGCCGTGGTCACCGCCCAGTCCCCAGCACCGTTCCCTGCTCAGCCATCAGCAAATAGCAAGAGGCAGAAACTCCTCAAGGTGCCCCCGGGGCTCCCAGCGTCCACTCACCTGTCACCCCGATGGCAGACACGGGCCCCACACGCCGGCCCTCGTGCAGGCCGTACAGGTGCATCTTGTACTTGCGCCCCGGCTCCAGGCCCCACACGGTCACCTCGCTCTCCTCGCCCCCGACTCGCACCACTTGGGGCCGCCCGTCCCTGTCCTTGTACTGGACGTTGAAGGAGTCGAAGTGGCCCTGGGGGACGGTCCAGGAGAGGCCCAGCGAGTCCGGGGATGATGCTGTCACCGTCAGCTCCCCCAGGAGGGGCTCCTCGGGGGGCTCTGGGGCCTCCGTGCTGGGCTCTGTGGGGCTGGGGGTCTCATCCACCTCTGTGGGGGCGGGGGTTTCTTCTTCTGCAGCTGAGAAGGGGAGACAGGAGGTGAGGCAGGGCTCCTGGGACAAGTCCTGGAGTCTTGGGGACAAGGAGGGGGATCTATGGCCACGACTGGGGTCCTGAGGTCACTTCTGAGCAGCCTGTCCTTGGGGCTGGAATCCAGCTTGGCTGACAGCTAACAGACACACCCAAGTCCAAGGTCAGTTGTGGGGAATCTGGGGCAGCACAGCCCTTCCCTGCCCAGGAGGGGGCAGAGCTGAACCCACAGGAAGGCATAATAGGGCCAGGGCCACAGGCACAGCAGGGCCTTGGTCACCACCCAGTCCCCAGCACCATTCCCTGCTCAGCCATCAGCAAGCAGCAAGAGGCAGAAACTCCCCAAGGTCCCCCGAGGCTCCCAGCATCCACTCACCCGTCACCCCGACAGCAGACACGGGCCCCACACGCTGGCCCCCGTGGAAGCCATACAGGTTCATCTTGTACTTGTGGTCTGGCTCCAGGCCCGAGATGGTGACGGCGTCCTCGTGCCCCGGCACCCGCACTGCCTTGGGCTGCCCATCCCCATTCTTGTACTGGACCAGGAAGTGGTCAAAGTGGCCCTCGGGGACCGTCCAGGACAGGCTCAGGGAGTCGGGGGTGGCGTCTGTCACGGCCAGCTGCCCCAGGCGCGGCTTGGTGGGGGGCTCAGGGGTGGTGGTGGGAGGGGCCTGAATGGTCACAGCTTCAGCCTCCGGAGCTGGACATGGAGACAATCAGGCTCTCAGCAGACTGGTGCATCATGGGACAGCAAGCTGGGCAGAATGCCACGGCCCTGTGCTCCCACACACCTCCCTCCACCCCTTCCCTGTCACCCTTCCTAGGCCCTCATCCTGACTGCCCTGCACTGGCCCACACCCAGCACTCACGTGAGGGCTCCTGGCTTCCAGCTCCTACCTCAGTCTCCAAGGCAGGCAGTATGTGGACCCGGCCCTCCCCAGCCGCCCACTCAGAGCAGGTCCCACACTCCTTCCCAGTCCTGGGCCTCCCTCCCAGCCCTGCAGCCCCATGGCCTCTCCCTGCAGGCTCCCTCCCTCCTGCTCTCCATACAGCCTCCAGGGCAGGGCTGAGCTCTGTGCAGGTGCCTCTGATGGGGCCACTGCTCACACTGGAGACCCCCTCAGGGGCCACACTGTTTCCTGCCTCCCACGCTTGCACAGGGGACACTGGTCTGACACATCGGCTTCTTTCTAAAGCTGTACCCAAGCTAACTCTGCCCAACCTCGGTCTCAGCTCTCCTTTGGGCGCCATTGACTAGGCTGCTTGGAGCATCCATCCTCTGTCCTTGCCTGGTCCCCAGCTTTGCTGTCACAAGTTCATCTCCGTGGCTGTATCTGCCGTCTCACAGGCCGCCTGCCTACTGTCATGAGTCCCTGTAGGTCAAGAACTTCCCCCACTGGGATGGCAACATCAGCACAGGATCCCTGCCTGCAACCCTGACCTCAGTGAGGTCATGTTAACAGCTCTACATCCACTGTGGGCGGAACTACCCTATGCAAATACAGTCTTCGGTTTGTACACAAGCACCGGGGCAGCTGGAAGCTACCAGCAACCCAAGTGACCACTATTGATTAAAGGGAAAAGCGGAGCCAGTGCATGTGTCGGAGGGACGGTCACCCAGCCTCGGGGAGGACTGCACTGCTGACAGATGCCACAGCTCGGTTGCACCTGCCAGACCCTCCATAGACTGCCGGAAGTGAGACACAGGAAGAACCAGTACTGCTTTCCACTGGATGTCGAGAACTTACAGAGAAAGCAGAACGGTGGCTGCCAGGGGGCGAGGCGGAGGGAAAACGAGTTATTGATTAATTGTTATAAAATTTCAATTTGGAAAGACCAGGAGCTGTGGACAAGGATGATGGTGGAGGAGGGGGCTTCAAAATGCTCACAGACAATGCAGGTTACCTCTTCCTTCCAGCTCCCCCCCAACCCCACGCTCGTCAGTACCCCCGGCACACAGCCACTCACTATACACTTAGAAGTGGTAAATGTTATCACCCACGCTTTACCACATGAAAAATCCAGAGAGTGTGGCATGAGGAGCAGGGATGGCAGCGAGAGAGTCTTGCTTACATGCAGGTCCCGGAGCAGAGCTGCACAGGCCACGTGTGCCTTCTAACAAAAACCACAGAACCCGGCCTTGCAGAAGTGGCCATGATGTTGACAGTACTGATGCTTTCATGAAGGTAGAGGAACCCGAACCGTCGAGGACTGTCTTCCCCACCCTGCTCTACCCTCACAGCCACTCACCAGTCACGCCCACGGTGGACACGGGGCCCACGCGCCGGCCCTCGTGCAGGCCATACAGGTGCATCTTGTACTTGCGTCCCGGCTCCAGGCCCCACACGGTCACCTCGCTCTCCTCGCCCCCGACTCGCACCACTTGGGGCCGCCCGTCCCTGTCCTTGTACTGGACGTTGAAGGAGTCGAAGTGGCCCTGGGGGACGGTCCAGGAGAGGCCCAGCGAGTCCGGGGACGATGCTGTCACCGTCAGCTCCCCAAGAAGGGGCTCCTCGGGGGGCTCTGGGGCCTCCGTGCTGGGCTCTGTGGGGCTGGGGGTCTCGTCCACCTCTGTGGGGGCGGGGGTTTCTTCTTCTGCAGCTGAGAAGGGGAGACAGGGAGGTGAGGCAGGGTTCCTGGGATAAGTCCTTGAATCTTGGGGACAAGGAGGGGGATCTATGGCCACGACTGGGGTCCTGAGGTCACTTCCGAGCAGCCTGTCCTTGGGGCTGGAATCCAGCTTGGCTGACAGCTAACAGACACGCCCAAGTCCATGGTCAGTTGTGGGGAATCTGGGGCAGCACAGCCCTTCCCTGCCCAGGAGGGGGCAGAGCTGAACCCACAGGAAGGCATAACAGGGCCAGGGCCACAGGCACAGCAGGGCCTTGGTCACTACCCAGTCCCCAGCACCATTCCCTGCTCAGCCATCAGCAAATAGCAAGAGGCCAAGCCTCCCCATGGCCACCGGGGCTCCCAGCATTCACTCACCTGTCACCCCGACAGCAGACACGGGCCCCACACGCTGGCCCCCGTGGAAGCCATACAGGTTCATCTTGTACTTGCGCCCCGGCTCCAGGCCCCACACGGTCACCTCGCTCTCCTCGCCCCCAACTCGCACCACTTGGGGCCGCCCGTCCCTGTCCTTGTACTGGACGCTGAAGGAGTCGAAGTGGCCCTGGGGGACGGTCCAGGAGAGGCCCAGCGAGTCCGGGGACGATGCTGTCACCGTCAGCTCCCCCAGGAGGGGCTCCTCGGGGGGCTCTGGGGCCTCCGTGCTGGGCTCTGTGGGGCTGGGGGTCTCGTCCACCTCTGTGGGGGCGGGGGTCTCTTCCTCTGCAGCTGAGAAGGGGAGACAGGAGGTGAGGCAGGGCTCCTGGGACATGTCCTGGAGTCTTGGGGACAAGGAAGGGGATCTATGGCCACGGCTGGGGTCCTGAGGTCACTTCCGAGCAGCCTGTCCTTGGGGCTGGAATCCAACTCGACTGACAGCTAACAGACACACTCCTGCTCCAGGTCACCCGTGGGGAACCCGGGGCAGCCACCAGCACAGCAGTTCTCCCCACAACCCCTCCCTGCCCAGGAGGGGGCAGAGCTGAACCCACAGGAAGGCACAAATGGGCCGTGATCACCGCCCAGTCCCCAGCACCGTTCCCCGCTCAGCCATCAGCAAGCAGCAAGAGGCAGAAACTCCCCAAGGTCCCCCGAGGCTCCCAGCATCCACTCACCCGTCACCCCGACAGCAGACACGGGCCCCACACGCTGGCCCCCGTGGAAGCCATACAGGTTCATCTTGTACTTGTGGTCTGGCTCCAGGCCCGAGATGGTGACGGCGTCCTCGTGCCCCGGCACCCGCACTGCCTTGGGCTGCCCATCCCCATTCTTGTACTGGACCAGGAAGTGGTCAAAGTGGCCCTCGGGGACCGTCCAGGACAGGCTCAGGGAGTCGGGGGTGGCGTCTGTCACGGCCAGCTGCCCCAGGCGCGGCTTGGTGGGGGGCTCAGGGGTGGTGGTGGGAGGGGCCTGAATGGTCACAGCTTCAGCCTCCGGAGCTGGACATGGAGACAATCAGGCTCTCAGCAGACTGGTGCATCATGGGACAGCAAGCTGGGCAGAATGCCACGGCCCTGTGCTCCCACACACCTCCTTCCACCCCTTCCCTGTCACCCTTCCTAGGCCCTCATCCTGACTGCCCTGCACTGGCCCACACCCAGCACTCACGTGAGGGCTCCTGGCCTCAGCTCCTACCTCAGTCTCCAAGGCAGGCAGTATGTGGACCCGGCCCTCCCCAGCCGCCCACTCAGAGCAGGTCCCACACTCCTTCCCAGTCCTGGGCCTCCCTCCCAGCCCTGCAGCCCCATGGCCTCTCCCTGCAGGCTCCCTCCCTCCTGCTCTCCATACAGCCTCCAGGGCAGGGCTGAGCTCTGTGCAGGTGCCTCTGATGGGGCCACTGCTCACATTGGAGACTCTGTCAGGGGCCCTTCCTTGGGCAGCCTGGCTAGGACATCCCTCCCCCACCCTGGCCTGGTCCCCAGACCGCTCATCCTCTCCCACTCTCTTACTTGCTTGGTTTCTGCCTGGCCCATGCTGGATTATGCATCAACATGTGAACTTGTGGGCATTGCTCTCCCAGCTTCTGCCCGGGGAACGGGACAGCAGCCCTGAGATGGGGGAACCTGCCCAGTCCTCTCTGCAAGGCCCTGGCTGCCGGAGCTGGCCTGGCACAGCACAGCGCGGTCTTGGTGTGGCCTGGTGAGCTCAGGCAATTTCATGGAACAGAAACATCGGTCAGGGCCACCTGTCACCGTGATGGATGGAGACAGACCCGGCCTGCCTGTAGCTGTGTTGGGTTGTGTAGGCAGACTTGAACGTTTTCCAAACCACAGAAATAACCAAAAACGATCCATCCAGTAACCTGAGTGATGGCTGCGTCTTTACCAATTACGGCTGCAACCCCACTCTGGAGACCTCCCCGTGGACAGCACTGGGGAGACACCTGGTAGGGGGGTTCCTCTCCCTTCAGCTTCACCACTCACTCAAAGGTTGCTGCATGAGCCAGCAGCAGCCACATCACGTGGCGCTCATTGGAAAAGCAGAGTGTCGGGCTCTGGCCCAAACCTGCTGGATGCGAGCCTCCCTTTCAACAGATCCTCAGGCATCGGCTTTGCCAAGCCAGCACCGCTGCGAGAGCACTTCTCCTTTCACGATGTTGATGGAGAAGGAACAACTTGCCAAGGCCTGACTTCCCCGTCTACGCCATTCCTACCCCACGCCACAGCCACTCACCGGTCACGCCCACGGTGGACACAGGACCCACGCGCCGGCCCTCGTGCAGGCCATACAGGTGCATCTTGTACTTGCGCCCCGGCTCCAGGCCCCACACAGTCACCTCGCTCTCCTCGCCCCCGACTCGCACCACCTGGGGCCGCCCATCCCTGTCCTTGTACTGGACGCTGAAGGAGTCGAAGTGGCCCTGGGGGACGGTCCAGGAGAGGCCCAGCGAGTCCGGGGACGATGCTGTCACCGTCAGCTCCCCAAGAAGGGGCTCCTCGGGGGGCTCTGGGGCCTCCGTGCTGGGCTCTGTGGGGCTGGGGGTCTCATCCACCACCTCCTGCATGGCTGAGAGAAGAGACGGGGGACACCAGCTTGGCTGATGCGGTTGGCAGGGAGACAGTGACATGCATCCAGCAAGTGTACTCCTCCAGTGTGGGCTTAGGGGCTCGAGTGGCCGTTAGGAGTAACCCCAGGTCATGCACAGACGAGAGAGGGCTGGCAGCCCCTGTCCCGTCGCCCTGGAGGCACTGCACTCCTGCAAACCTCAGCAGGCAACTGGGACATACGTGTCGGAGCCCAAATAATGTGCTCATTTCCTCTGATCCAGTAATCCCACTTCTGGGCGCCTATCCTAAGAAAATTATTAAGAGCAGGAAAAAGTTATAGCATGGAAGAACTCATTAAGGGATTATTCCTGACAGCAAAATGTGTCAGGAACCCAAACGACCCGTGGAAGGCGAGGCATTTTGCCACAGCGTTTTTGCCACCAACCATCAAATGACCAGGAAGACGATGATGAGTCAGCTTGTGTAGCCACAAGGTGAACGATCATGGCGCAACTGTCCTACGAGAGCGGGCGCCAAGCATTACACGAAGGAGACCAGAGCAGGAGCTGCAGGTAGATGTTCAAAGTGAACATGCTACGCCTACTGCTGTGAGGGGCGTTTATTAGGTCACAGGGTGGGGTGAGGAATTTTTTTGTGTATTTTTCAAACTTTCCATAATGTTGCTCTATTCTCACTAGAGAAATGTGGCTTTAACAGGAAACTGTGGACTATAAAAGTTAATCAGCATGGAGTTTGGCTTAGTGTTTAAGATGCCGGTTAAGGTGCCCACTGCAGAGTCAGCTCAGCGCCTGCTCGGGCTTCGGACTCCAGCTTCCTGCTGGTGCTGAGCCCGGGGTGCAGGCGCCAGCCTCCAGGGACTGGGCCCCGTCCACCCACACGGGAGGCCTGGATCGAGTTCCTGGCTCTCACCTCTGGCCATCGCAGGCCTCTGGGGGAGTGAGCCGGTAGATGGGTGTGCTCTCTGTTTGCCTGTCTGTCCCCTTTTCTGTCTCTCAAATCAATTTTGAAGAAATTAACAATTGAGTGTGCAAGGGGTGGGCAGTGGAGCAGGAAGGGCAAGGGTCACAGCCCCTTCCAGGCACTCTGCCGGCCAGGGATCCGAAGAGCCAACCTGGCAATGGCTGTGAAGCGACAGCTCACCCCGGGCTCTGAACCCTTCCAGCCAGTCTCCTATCCTCTCTGTTCCCCAAAACACAGGGGTCTGCTGGGTCCACCCACAGAAGTGCAGTCACGGAGGGAGTCGGTGTGGGAGCGGTCTCTGCTGGGGCGGGGAGTGTGGGTGCGAGGCCAGCCCAGCTCTCGCGGGGCACATTCTCCTCGGCCTGCAGAAACCCGTGAGAAATGCTCACCAGGCACAAGACCCTGCCTGGGGATGACGCGGAAAAGGCAGCCCAGCCGCACTGCTGGAATTGAATCCGCCTCGTGATCTCTCCCCCCGCGACTTGTGGACTAGGCATTTTGACTTTCTCGTATTTGGAGGTGAAGTTAAGTTGCAAGTGTGACAAGGGAGAAAATAGATGGAGAGTAAGGAACAGAAGACATTATATTTTTTCCTAATTATCAAAGAAACCCTTGCCGCTTAAGACAATGTGGACGAAGCAGAGCAGAATAAAAGAAGGGAAATCACTGTGCTGGAACATTCTATTCTGTTTAACAAAGCACGAACCCGCGGGGTGTGTTTCTTCCCAGCCTGCTTGTCATGCCTGTTATTGTCAAATGGTTGTGATTAGCACCCTTATGAAAATTCTGGGCTCTGTTATTTTTTTCAATGTAACATTGCAAAGTCATTGTCTGAAGTTAAAATACTTCAATGGTGGCATAATAGCTCATTTTATAAATGTTGCCTAAATTATTTAGTCATCACAATGTGGTTTGATGTAGGGTTGTTTCTTCTGTGTGCGTGTCTGTATGTGGCCGGAACAAAGACTTATGCGATTAAGATGGAAGAAAAGGAAAATTCTTGTAGGGCAGGCTTGGCTGTGCCTGGATATTTCACCTCGGAGGTGGCTAGGAGCTGACCATCAGAAGGAGACAACAGCAGAGCACACAGTGAGGCTGCGGAAAGGCAAAGGACAAACCACTAGGCCTGGGCCATGGTGGGAGGCCATGGAGGAGGGGCAGGGGACAGGAGCCAAGACCCAGACCTATAGGAGCTGGTGAGAGAGAACAGCTGTCAACCAGGCACACAAGGGGGAAAGGGAGCCGCTCCAGAAGGCCTGGAGCCCTACTCACCGGTCACGCCCACGGTGGACACGGGGCCCACGCGCCGGCCCTCGTGGAAGCCATACAGGTGCATCTTGTACTTGCGCCCCGGCTCCAGGCCCCACACGGTCACCTCGCTCTCCTCGCCCCCGACTCGTACCACCTGGGGCCGCCCGTCCCTGTCCTTGTACTGGATGCTGAAGGAGTCGAAGTGGCCCTGGGGGACGGTCCAGGAGAGGCCCAGCGAGTCCGGGGACGATGCTGTCACCGTCAGCTCCCCCAGGAGGGGCTCCTCGGGGGGCTCTGGGGCCTCCGTGCTGGGCTCTGTGGGGGTGGGGGTCTCGTCCACCTCTGTGGGGGCGGGGGTTTCTTCCTCTGCAGCTGAGAAGGGGAGACAGGGAGGTGAGGCAGGGCTCCTGGGACAAGTCCTTGAATCTTGGGGACAGGAGAGGGAGCCACGGCCATGACTGGGGTCCTGAGGTCACTTCCGAGCAGCCCGTCCTTGGGTTGGGGTCCAGCTTGGCTGACAGCTAGCAGACACGCCCAAGTCCAAGGTCAGTTGTGGGGAATCTGGGGCAGCACAGCCCCTCCCTGTCCAGGAGGGGACAGAGCTGAACCACACAGGAAGGCACAAATGGGCCAGGGCCACAGGCACAGCAGGGCCGTGGTCACCACCCAGGCCCCAGCAAGGTTCCCCGCTCAGCTGACAGCAAATAGCAAGAGGCCAAGCCTCCCCATGGCCCACCCGGGGCTCCCAGCATCCACTCACCCGTCACCCCGACAGCAGACACGGGCCCCACACGCTGGCCCCCGTGGAAGCCATACAGGTTCATCTTGTACTTGTGGTCCGGCTCCAGGCCCGAGATGGTGACAGCGTCCTCGTGCCCCGGCACCCGCACCGCCTTGGGCTGCCCATCCCCGTTCTTGTACTGGACCAGGAAGTGGTCAAAGTGGCCCTCGGGGACCGTCCAGGACAGACTCAGGGAGTCGGGGGTGGCGTCTGTCACGGCCAGCTGCCCCAGGCGCGGCTTGGTGGGGGGCTCGGGGGTGGTGGGGGCAGGTTCTGTTGGGGCTGCGGCTGTATCAGGAGACAGAGACAGGTGGGCGTGCCTGTCAGCTTCCTTCCAGCCATGGGATTCTGGATTCTCTTTAGACATACCAGTGCATGGCAGCCTGGATGCCAGTGGCCCAGGGTTGAGTGTCGCTGGACGGGAGGTGGGACTGCACGAGGCCTGGTGTGCATGGGCACTGAGCCCTCAGCTGCTGCTGGGTGGATTTACACAGGGACTTGCCCGCAACCCCACCCACACGGCGGTGAGGTCCACCGGGAGGCAAGTCACTGGGGACGGGAACCCACTTCACCAGTGCCTTCCCTCAATACCTTTCAGTTTTAGAGCGCTTCCCTGGGCGTTTTTAGAAACCAATTCAGATTTCACAGCTGAGGCCCTGTGTGCTGAGACCGCACGCAGACATTCTTGCAATCGGGGGTCTGGGACCGTCAGCTGTTCTCGCAGCTCTGCCCGCCCCTAGTGTTGCCAGCTCTTTTGACCTTTGTGAAATCATGCGCTTTGCTGTCACTGATTCCTCTGGTCTTTGTGCTCCTCAGAGGGTTTTATTCTGCTTGGATGGGTGAATTGTAGAATGCCTACATTTCTGTTTCTGTTTGGGACTAAGCCTTAGGCCTCTAGGGTGTGACAGCTACAAAAACTCATCAAAAGCATCACAAAGCTGAATCCCGAGTAATCAATCAAAGGAAAACACCTTGTTAGGTTGTGCATAGGACCAAGGTTAACTATTAAACGAACAGTCCAAAGCAACAGGATTTGGCATTATTTTAACATAGATATATTAGGGCCAGCACTGTGGCATAGTAGGTTAAGCCTCCACCTGTGGTGCCAGCATCTCACATGGGCGCTGGTTCAAGTCCCAGTTGCTCCACTTCCGATCCAGCTCTTTGCTGTGGCCTGGGATAGCAGTGGAGGATGGCCCAAGTGCTTGGGCCCCTGCACCTGCATGGGAGACCTGGAAGAAGCTCCGGGCTCCTGGCTTCAGATCAGCGCAGCTCCAGCCATTGTGGCCAATTGGGGAGCGAACCAGTGGATGGAAGGCCTCTCTCTCTGTCTCTACCTCTCTCTGTAACTCTGTCTTTCAAATAAATAAATAAATAAATCTTTTTTTTTTTTTTAATAAAGGTATCAGTTTGGGTGTTTGGGGAACACGTACACTTTTCACAAACTACCTACCTTCCTCAGAGAGGGAAGCTGTGTGTGAGCCCAGGCACACTTAGGCAACTGTCTTTAAGACAGGTGTGGGGAGGCCCAGAGAGGGTAAGTGACTCGCTGCAGGTCACACAGCTTGAGTGGCTGAGGCTTTGATCATCCCCATGGGTACTGGGTCTATGTTGTTCCCCTGGTGCGCTGCCTCATCAGGGACCCCAGAGCCCAGGTGTAAGGGGTAAGTGGGCTGGGGAGACACCAAAGGTGTAGAGTGAATACCGGACAGCAGCATTTTCAGGAGCTCGGAGGCTCGGTCTCAGCGAAAGCGGATGAAGACATCTGAATACTGACAGGAAAGGAAAGTGAGCCCCAGCTGGGGCAGAGCCCGGCGCCCACGCACACTCACCTGTTAAACCAACAGCAGACACGGGCCCCACACGCTGGCCCCCGTGGAAGCCGTACAAGTTCATCCTGTACTTGCGCCCCGGCTCCAGGCCCAAGATGGTGACGGCGTCCTCATGCCCCGGCACTCGCACCACCTGGGGCCGCCCGTCCCTGTCCTTGTACTGGATGCTGAAGGAGTCGAAGTGGCCCTGGGGGACGGTCCAGGAGAGGCCCAGCGAGTCCGGGGACGATGCTGTCACCGTCAGCTCCCCCAGGAGGGGCTCTTCGGGGGGCTCTGGGGCCTCCGTGCTGGGCTCTGTGGGGCTGGGGGTCTCGTCCACCTCTGTGGGGGCGGGGGTCTCTTCTTCTGCAGCTGAGAAGGGGAGACAGGGAGGTGAGGCAGGGCTCCTGGGACATGTCCTGGAGTCTTGGGGACAAGGAGAGGGAGCCACGGCCACGACTGGGGTCCTGAGGTCACCTCTGAGCAGCCCGTCCTTGGGTTGGGGTCCAGCTTGGCTGACAGCTAACAGACACACTCCCGCTCTAGCTCACCAGCCCAGCAGTGCTCCCCAAAACCCCTCCCTGTCCAGGAAGGGACAGAGCTGAACCACACAGGAAAGCACAAAGGGGCCAGGGCCACAGCAGGGCCGTGGTCACCACCCAGGCCCAAGCACTGTTCCTCGCTCAGCCAATAGCTGAGCTGTCGGCAAACAGCAAGAGGCCGAACCTCCTCCAGACTAACCCCCGTCCACTCCCAGCATCCACTCACCCGTCACCCCGACGGCAGACACGGGCCCCACACGCTGGCCCCCGTGGAAGCCATACAGGTTCATCTTGTACTTGTGGTCCGGCTCCAGGCCCGAGATGGTGACGGCGTCCTCGTGCCCCGGCACCCGCACCGCCTTGGGCTGCCCGTCCCCGTTCTTGTACTGGACCAGGAAGTGGTCAAAGTGGCCCTCGGGGACCGTCCAGGACAGGCTCAGGGAGTCGGGGGTGGCGTCTGTTACTGTCATCTCTCCAAGACGTGGCTTTGGGAGGTGGACAACGGGAGGTTCCTCCTCAGAGGCTGGAAGAGACACAACAGAATCCTTCCTGTTGCTGTAAGGAACCGGCGCCGCAGCTCACTAGGCTAATCCTCCGCCTGCGGCGCTGGCACCCTGGGTTCTAGTCCCCGTTGGGGCACCAGATTCTGTCCTGGTTGCTCCTCTCGCAGTCCAGCTCTCTGCTGTGAGCCAGGAAGGCAGTGGAGGATGGCCCAAGTGCTTGGGCCCTGCACCCACATGGGAGACCAGGAGAAGCACCTGGCTCCTGGCTTTGGATTGGCATAGCTCCGACCGTAGCAGCCATTTGGGGGGTGAACCAATGGAAGGAAGACCTTTCTCTCTGTCTCTCTCGCTGTCTAACTATATATATGGCAGTACAGTAGCATCCATTTAGTAGAATATGACTGGGGAATGCAAAGCAAAGAAGGTGCAGACATTTGGCATAGCAGTTAAGCCGCTGCCTGGGACAACTGCATCTCATATCAGAGCCCCTGGTTTGAGTTCCAGCTGCTCTGCTTCTGATCCAGCTTCCTGCTAAGATGCACCCTGGGAGGCAGCAAATGATGACCCAAGTACTTGGGTCTCTGCAGCTACATGGAGACCTGGATGCAGTTCTAGGCTGCTGGTTTCAGCCTGGCCCAGCCTCAGCCATTGCAGGCATTTGTGGAGTGAACCAGCAGATGGAAGATCTGTCTCTCTGCCTTTCAAATAAAATGAAAATGAATGCATTTTGAAAAGTGCAAAACTATGAAGTACTGCACATGGTGCAACACGGATAAACCACAGAGATTGTGCTTGGTGAGAGAAGCCACACAGCAAACACAGGTGGTGTATGCCTGCATGGGTACAGAAGGCAGATTCATGGTGCACCAACGCTGTGGGTAGGAAATGCTCTGGGCTTTTTGGGGTGGTAAAAGGCTCTGAAGATAGATTGGGATGATGTTTGCACTACTAGGTAAGTATACTTAAGTCAATAAGTTGCATACTTAACAGGTGAATTGCCATAGAAATGCCAGCTTGGGGCTAGCACTGTGGCATAGCAGATAAAGCCACCAATGCAGTACCAGCATCCCATATGGGTGCTGGTTTGAGTCCCGGCTGCTCTACTTCCGATCCAACTCTGTGCTATGGCCTGGGAAAGCAATGGAAGATGGCCCAAGTCTTTGGGCCCCTGCACCTGCATGGGAGACCTGGAGGAAGCTCCTGGCCCCAGCTTCGGATCAGCGCAGCTCCGACTGTTGCAGCCAACTGGGGAATGAACCAGCAGATAGAAGACTCCCCATCTGGGCCTTTCAAATATATAAATAAATCTTTTTAAAAAATGCCAGCTCAGTAAGTCTGATCATAAACTAACATTCTATAAGGGAGCCCGGCGCCCAGGAGCAGGTGTTGAAGGCGGTGGTCTTCATGTGAACCCTTCTCTTTCCATGTGTGGTTGAAATGTTATTGAATAAAGATGTGCTTAATTAACTATTATTTCATAGAGTTTGTCCCAATCCCGTGAGAAGAGGTTGTTCCCAGGACAACCAGTGAGTGAATGGTGAATTCAGAGGCTGTGGGCCCAGGGCCTGTCCCATGTGGCTCTGAGACAGACTCCTCTGGGATTTGCTCCCTCTGCCCCCAGAACACTTGTCCTGAGGAGTTATGGGCAGGGGTGGCTTAGAGGTTGGCGGCTTTGGGATTTGAGGTATCCAGGAAAACAGGCATTGGAGGCTCTACTTTCCTGAGGTCCAACCCAAAAGACCCTTAGTACTCACTCACCGGTCACACCCACGGTGGACACGGGGCCCACGCGCCGGCCCTCGTGCAGGCCGTACAGGTGCATCTTGTACTTGCGTCCCGGCTCCAGGCCCCACACAGTCACCTCGCTCTCCTCGCCCCCGACTCGCACCACCTGGGGCCGCCCGTCCCTGTCCTTGTACTGGATGCTGAAGGAGTCGAAGTGGCCCTGGGGGACGGTCCAGGAGAGGCCCAGCGAGTCCGGGGACGATGCTGTCACCATCAGCTCCCCCAGGAGGGGCTCCTCGGGGGGCTCTGGGGCCTCCGTGCTGGGCTCTGTGGGGCTGGGGGTCTCGTCCACCTCTGTGGGGGCGGGGGTCTCTTCTGCAGCTGAGAAGGGGAGACAGGAGGTGAGACAGGGCTCCTGGGATAAGTCCTGGAGTCTTGGGGACAAGGAGAGGGAGCCACGGCCACGACTGGGGTTCTGAGGTCACTTCCGAGCAGCCCGTCCTTGGGTTGGGGTCCAGCTTGGCTGACAGCTAACAGACACGCCCAAGTCCAAGGTCAGTTGTGGGGAATCTGGGGCAGCACAGCCCCTCCCTGCCCAGGAGGGCAGAGCTGAACCCACAGGAAGGCATAACAGGGCCAAGGCCACAGCCACAGCAGGGCCGTGGTCACCGCCCAGTCCCCAGCACCGTTCCCTGCTCAGCCATCAGCAAGCAGCAAGAGGCAGAAACTCCTCAAGGTCCCCCCGGGGCTCCCAGCGTCCACTCACCCGTCACCCCGACAGCAGACACGGGCCCCACACGCTGGCCCCCGTGGAAGCCATACAGGTTCATCTTGTACTTGTGGTCTGGCTCCAGGCCCGAGATAGTGACGGCGTCCTCATGCCCCGGCACCCGCACCGCCTTGGGCTGCCCATCCCCGTTCTTGTACTGGACCAGGAAGTGGTCAAAGTGGCCCTCGGGGACCGTCCAGGACAGACTCAGGGAGTCGGGGGTGGCGTCTGTCACGGCCAGCTGCCCCAGGCGCGGCTTGGTGGGGGGAGGTTCTGAAGGCTGATCCTCCTCCTCAGGTGCGGCTGGACGGAGACATGGGGAAAGATTTGAGAGGGGCCTGAGGTTCACAGGGACCTTGCTCCCCTCTGCATCCTCCCCCCCCCCCCCCCCCGTCCCAAAGGAAGCAAAAGGTATTCCTCGCACTCCCCCGGCAGGGCCCCGGGGGGGGCAGGACCCCCACGCTGCCCGTCCCGGAAACCATAAAGGGGCACCAGGGATTGGGGGGCAGATTCCAGGCCAGAAAGCGGGATGTCGCTTCGGGCCCCCCCTAAGGGGGCCCCTTGGAGAAGCCCATGTTCCTCTGTGGACCGGACCCCGAAGGAATCTAAATCCCCCTGGGTCACCACCCAGGAGAGACGCAGGCTGTGTTGCGTGGCCTCCTCCACTTTCAGCTCCCCAAGGCGGGGCTCAGACACTGGAGGTGTCGGGGCCTCGGCTTCTGCTTCCGCTTCACCCCTGGGAGCTGGTCAGAGAGACACGGGAGATGAGTGACGGGTCTGTGGCCGCCCTGGGACGCTCAGGAGGAGGGCAAGAGGTGAGGGTCAGGGGCCCTCACCAAGTAAAGGACCTACTTTTGCTGCATGTGGATGGATTTTGAAAGCACAAGGGGCCAAACACAAGAGACTTTCAGACAAGGGGACTTCAAAAGTGTGTAGAAATGGAATGGAAAGATAAGTGTATTCTGGTGCAAGAAATTCTGAGTTCCGTGCATAGCTTTTTCATAATATGCATTTCCACGGACTTTTAAAAGACCCAGGTATCGTATGATTCTGTGAAATGAAATCAGGCAATCAAACCTGTAAGCAAGCAGATCAGCGGCTGCGGAGGCTGGGCTGGGGGAGGGTTTATATCTCAGCTGAGCAATGGTTTTTGACTCACGCATTTGCCAAAAGGCTGGAATTATTCTCTCTAAGGGGGCCTCCTACTGTATGTAAATTATGCCCCAATAAAGCTGATCCCCCCAGAAGTCATGGAGATGAGAAAGCCCCACAAGACCTCGGGGCTCAGTCAGGTCGGGAGAGGCAGCGGGGAGGGAGGCACGGGGTCTCTGGGCTGCCGCCCCGCTCACCGGTCACGGCGATGGCGGAGATGGGCCCCACACGCCTGCTGTCGCTCAGCCCGTAGAGTAGCAGCTTGTACCTGTGGGCTGGCTCCAGGCCCGAGACGCTGACCTCCCTGAGGCTGCCCTCCACGGGTACCACCTGCGGCTGTCCAGCCCCGTCCTTGTACTGGACCACGAAGGAGTCAAATTGGCCCTCGGGCACCGTCCACGAGAGGCCCACGGAGTCCGGGCCCACGCCGGTCACCTGCAGCTCCTCCCCCAGACGCGGTTTTGGCGGGCGCTTCGTTCCGGTATCCTCCACAGCACGCAGGGTCTCTGAGACGGGACACGGAAGGGAAGTGGCTGAGCTGTTTCTGGAAGGCTGGGCGACCTTGCAGGACAGGAAGGGCTTGTACGGCCGAGGCCAGCTGGGCTTGTGCAAGCACGCGGGGAACTGGGTCTCAGCCAGAGCGGCTGGGGTCAGCAGCGGCACCTGCTGCGAGGGGCTGCCCTCACCTGTGGTGCCGTCAGCGGAGAGGGGGCCGTGGCGCTTCTTGCCCGCGAGGCCGTAGAGGAGGAACTTGTACTTGCGGCCGGCGTCCAGAGGGCTCACGGTGACAGAGTGCAAGTGGCCCTCCACAGGCACCACCCGGGGCCCGTCCTTGTCCTTGAACTGGACCACGAAAGAGTCGAAGCGGCCCTCGGGGACCGTCCAGGAGAGGCGCAGTGAGTCTGGGGTGGGGTCCGTCACCCACAGCTCCCCAAGGCGGGGTGGGGCCCCTGGGCTGGCGTCACCCCGGGCGGCTGACAGAGAGAAAGGGCTTTTGTGTTTATTTTTCCTAAATGACTCCCTGACAGCCTCCCACTGGGGATGGAAAAACCAGAGGAGCTCAGACGGTCGGGGCTTGCCTGAAGTGTTTCCATCTCCCGCCCCGCCCCCCCCATTCTCCACCACCCTCTCCAGCTGGCTGCGCAGCTCCCCACTGCAACAGTGTGGGGAGAGGTCTCTGTCCCAGGTCACTCCCTCACTTCCCTCCCATCTTATCCCTCTGTTTCCAGGGGGCGGGATGCTGCTTATCCCAGGCCTGGCCCCTGGGGAAGCCCGAGGGGGTTATGGGGTCTGAGGGGGCAGGCAGCAGAGGGGGTGCACTTTGCTTCTCTTTCTCATTCTACCCTGGCCAGGCCCCATAGCAGCTGAGACCTGCACAGGGCCTGGTGGAGGAGTTGGGGCTGCCTGTGCCCACGTTGGGGGTGCGGGAAATAGAGAGTGATGTGGGGGGAGCTCAGATGGAGAAAGGATCTGGTGTGTGCCCAAGGAGCTGCCCCGGGGCCTGGGAAGGAGCTGGCCTGCTGTCTTCCAGGGCAGCCAAGACGCTGACGGCATGTTACTGCGAGAGTTTTCTGGCAACAGGGGGTCCCCAGGGGGAAGGGAGCCGGGGTGGGGGGAGCGGGTGCTGTGCTGAACCCCAGGAAAGGGGCATGGCCAGATTGGGGTCCTCTGGTCCCCAGTTTCTGAGGCTGCAGGAGGAGAGGAGAGGAGGGGAGGGGAGGGGAGGGGAGGAAGGTGAGCCCCTGGGGGAGGCAACTGTGGGACCTGAGGGGCCTGCGCCAGGAAGGCAAGAACTGCGTGGGAGTCGGAGAAGAGTTGGCGAAACTCCCAGGAGGTGATGGGCCCACGAGGGCCGGGGAGGCAGGAGGGGCTCCTGGCTTCTCGACCCCAGTCCACAGAAGCCAAAATTAGGAACTAGCCTGTCTCCCAGTCCTCGTCGGGTCCTCGTCAGCCAAGGACCAGGGGGTGTGGGGGGAAGCTGAGGCCTGCGGGGTGGCGGCCCGGGGGGCCCTCTTACCTGTCCTTGCCTCCGTGGAGACTGAGCTGCGTCGTTTCCCATCCCGGATCCCAAACAGCAGGAACTTGTACTTGCGGGAGGGCTCCAGGCCGGGGACGGTGACCGCCCGCTGGTCTGAGGGCACCGGCACCGCCTGGGGCTGTCCATCCCTGTCCTTGTACTGGACCACGAAGGAGTCAAACTCGCCCTCGGGGACTGTCCATGAGAGGCCCACAGAATCCAGGGTGGCATCTGTCACCGTCAGCTCCCCCAGACGTGGCTCCACGGGGGGCTCTGTGGCCTCTGTGGTGGCTGGGGCTGAGGGGAGGGGATCTGGGTTCCAGGAAGACAAAGAAGGAGGCTGAGCTGTCTTGGGGGGGACCCCGGGGCCCTCACCAGCCTCATGGCACTGGGAGCAGCCACCACTCTATCTTCATGACATCATTGCAACGTGGCATTTCCCGCAGCGGTGGAAATCATGGGTGCCTGCATGCCACCTCGGGGTTACGGCAGAAATATCAGCAGCCCGTCACACTCATCACTGCTTCCAGAAGCAGCGGGTTGTGAAATGAGTCCCCATGGCCTGGTGTTCAATGAGCTGGGACATGAGCTCTGGTACCAGTGATAAATTCAGTCTTTTAGGAAGTACTTAGATAACAGTACTCATACGTCAATAAAATGGGCTCCTGTTATAATCTTACCCATTTATTTTACAGACTTCAAAATACTGCTCTGAGAGGGGCCAGAGGTTTCGCCAGAGGCTGCGGCATAACAGGCACAGAGAACCCACAAAGATGGGGAGGGAGCCGCGAGCAGAGGGAAGGAGGGTCAGGGGTAACCAGGGTTGGGGAGCACTTCAGACCCTCACTCACCTGTCATGGCCACCACAGAGAGGGGGCCCACGTGCTGCCCGCCATGCACCCCGTAGAAGTCCATCTTGTATGTGCTTGCTGGCTCCAGGTTGGGGACCGTGACCTTGAGCTGGTCTGCAGCCACAGGTACCACCTGGGGCTGCCCATCCCTGTCCTCATACTGGACCATGAACGAGTCAAAGTGGCCCTCGGGGACCATCCACGAGAGGCCCACAGAGTTGGAGGTCACGGTCGTCACGGTCAGCTCCCCCAGGCGTGGCTCCAGGGGGGGCTCTGTGGCTGGAGGGGTCTCCTCTTCTTCCTGTGGGGCTGGGACAAAGATGGTAGGAAGGGTTCTGTTAGAAAAGGACCCCATCTTGTGGCCAGTGCTGTGGCGCAGTGGGTTAATGCCCTGGTCTGAAGCGTTGGCATCCCATATGGGCGCCGGTTTGAAACCTGGCGGCTCCACTTCCGATCCAGCTCTCTGCTATGGCCTGGGAAAGCAGCAGTAGATGGCCCAAGTCCTTGGGCCCCTTCCTAGAGGAAGCTTCTGGCTCCTGGCTTCGGATTGGCACAGCTCTGGCCATTGCAGCCAACTGGGGAGTGAACCATCGGATGGAAGACCTCTCTCTCTCTCTCTCTCTCTCTCTCTCTGTAATTCTGACTTTCAAATAAATAAATAAATCTTTAAAAAAAAAAAAAAAGGAACCACGAGGTGGTTCTGATACAAACCCACACCGATCAGCTACACCCAGATGTCTGGCTACTCCTTCACCAAGTCCAGGCCAGGGGTCTGAGGTGGTTCTTGCTGGAGGGGGAGGGGTGTGAGCTGTCCCCTGGGAAGTGGCTGGAATTCCATCTGTAGGTCAACCTCTCCGGCCTGTCCGGACCCTTCCCCCGATCCCGACGGCTCAGCAGCTTCCCTGGATGCCGAATGAGCATCTCGAACTCAGTAAGCCCCACACTGAGGTCCTGAGCCTCCCCTGACCCCTCTCCAGCTCCCACTCTTCCAGCTGCTAGGGTCACCCTGTGTCCTCTCTTACACCCCACATCTGTCACCGTGGGGAGTCCTCTTGCCACCACCTCCGGAGTAGGGCACAGCCAGACACTGTTATCACAGCATCTCCCAGGGCTCCTCCTTCCCTCTCAGTCTACAGCCAGAGGGACCCCGCCACCAACCTACAGCCCATCCCTTCAATGGCTTCCATCTCACTCACTGTCAAACCAAGCCTCTGCTGTGGCCCCTGAGGTCCCCGCTGTTGCTCTCGTGTCGTCTGTCCCCTGCTGCCCCCGCTCCCCGCCTCCACCCCACACCACGCTGCACTCCCTGCTGGGGCAGACCCTGAGGCCCCTCTGGCCTTCCAGGTTCTGCATGTACTCCTGCTGCTGCTGCCTGGGACACCGTTCCCCAGACACCCCCATGGCTGTCCTCTCGCCTGCTTGTTCAAGCCTTTCCCCTGGGCTGTGCTTGTCACCGTGCAACCTGCTGCTAGAACGGGAGCCCCCAGGCAGGTTCTGTCTCGCTTACTGCCAAGTCCCAATGACCAGTGTACAGCGCGTGCCCGACAAATGTGTATCTAAATAAATGAGTCGTCTGCAGGCTCTGCTCGGAGAGGCTGCACTCAAGACTGGCCCAGCCCCTCTGCCCTAGAGCCAGCTGTGGCGGGGAGAAAGGTGGCTCTCCTTAGTGACGGACCTGGAAGGGGGTCCCAGGGGTGAAACGGCGGAGGGGTGAGGGCTGGAGGGCTCTCAAAAGCTTGTTCTACCACTGCCACGGGACAGCAAGACTAAGCTCTTACTGTGGGCTGGCAAGCAAGCCTCGGGCAGACAGCAGAGAGTCTGGGTGGGAGGCGAGGGGGGAGGCAGTGCAAGGGGAGGGAGGGCCAGAGCGAGCATGGAGTACGGAACCCCTCTGCGTGCAGGTGCCGGGCAGGCGTGACTTTCGTGCCATTTGCCCGCTGACCTTATTCCGTCCTGCAGCCTCCACTCTCTGCTTGCTTTTGCCCTCTCTGTACTTCTTCCCACCAGGGAGAGGCACTGTCCCTCCCCAGGAAGCCCGATTGTGGTACGAATGGGAAGAGGCGAGGCGATGACAGTCCCCGCGCTGCCTCTGGGCTGGTCTTTCCCATTCAGAAGTGTTTCTAACCAGCACCTACGCATTTCCCCGCCTGGCGCCGGCACAGCGCGTACCGTGTGCCAGGCACACACAGCTCAGCCTGCCAGCAGGCTCCAGCTGCTTCACCTTCTCGCCCGATAATGAACATCAGTGCTCATTCCTTTCTTAAAGGGCCACTACCATTTTATCCAAAGCATGTACAACATGAGGCGTATGAAGTGCAGGGTTTGGTGCCCCAGCTTGCTTTGCGCTTGGGGGACCCACGTCTCCTATGGGAGTGCTTGCTTTGAGCTGGCTGCTCTGCTTCCCACCCAGCTTTCTGCTGGTGCACACCCTGGGAGGCAGCAGGTGCTGGCTCAAGTACTTGGGTCCTTGCCACCCATGTGGGAGACCTGGATAGAGTTCCTGGCTCCTGGCTTCAGCCTGGCCCAGGCCTGGCTGTTGTGGTCATTTAGGGAGTGAATGAGTGAACCAGCAGATGGAAGATCTCTCTCTCTCTCTGTCAGTCTCTGCCTTTCAAATAAAGCAAAATAAAAATCATTTAAAAACCTATATAGGGGCCAGCATTATGGTATAAGCAGGATATGCCACCACCTGCAACACCAGCATCTCATATAAGTACTGATTTGAGTCCTAGCTGCTCTACTTCTGGTCTAGCCCCCTGCTAAGGGCCTGGGAAGTGGCAGAAGATGGCCCAAGTGCTTGGGCCCCTGCACCCACCTGAGAGACCTGGATGGAGCTCCTGGCTCCTGGCTTCACTCTGGCCCAGCTTGGTCGTTGTGGCCATTTGGGGGAGAGAGAATCAGTGTATGAAGATGTCTCTCTCCCCCCCCCCACACCTCTATAACTCTGCCTTTCAAATAAAAAAAATAAGGGGCCAGTGCTGTGCTATAGCGGGTTAAGCTGCCGCCTGTAGTGCCAGCATCCCATTTGGGCCCCAGTTTGAGTCCCTTTCTCTCTCTGTCTCTCTCTTGCTGTAAATCTTTCAAATAAGTAAATGCATCTTTAAAATAAATTTTAAGAAAACTTAAAAATATACAGATCTAAAAAATGCAAGGGGTATTCAAAAAGTTCATGGAAAGTGAATATTATGAAAAAACTACATATGGATTAAAAAAACCTTTTTGATCCCAAATAAGCTTAACTTATCATTCCATTTTCCATAAACTTTCTGAAGTATACATATTTAGAATTTGGGTATATTTCTTTCTTTCTTTTTTCTTTTTTTTTGACAGGCAGAGTGGACAGTGAGAAAGAGAGAGAGAGAGAGAGAGACAGAGAGAAAAGTCTTCCTTTTGCCGTTGGTTCACCCTTCAATGGCCCGCCGCGGCCGGCGCACTGTGGCCGGCGCACCGTGCTGATTCGAAGGCAGGAGTCAGGTGCTTCTCCTGGTCTCCCATGGGGTGCACGGCCCAAGCACCTGGGCCATCCTCCACTGCACTCCAGGCCATAGCAGAGAGCTGGCCTGGAAGAGGGGCAACCGGAACAGAATCTGGCACCCCGACCAGGACTAGAACCCGGTGTGCCTAGTGAGCCGCGGCACCGGCTCAAATTTGGGTATATTTCAAAGCCTCTAGAATTAGAATGCAGACATAAGGCTTTCTCCTCAGAGGGTCTGAACAAAAGTGGAGTGAGTGGAGAACATGACAGCTTGACCTCTGACCCTCAGGGCAGGTGCACAGCATTCGATCTGCCTTGCAAGTGAGAGAGCAGAGGTTCCAGGAGCTGAGTTTCTCAAGCTGGCACAGCTAAGGACTGGGGAAGCCAGGAATGGGGCTCTGGCTATCAGACTCCAATTCTCAAGTTTCCCTTGACCGCACCACGCAGCCAGCACTGAGCCCAGCCTTACCCCTGGGACCTCCCAGCGCCCGGCGTGGCTGCCCGGGAGAGCCGGACAGTGGCAGCACGCTCTGGGCTGGGCATGAGCCTCCCTGCTGCCTCTGGCCCGGAGCAGGGCAGCTCCGGGTGATTCTCCCTGTCCCCTCCTCTCAGTGCTGTGTGAGGCAAAGACAAGAAACTGGGAGAGGAATGTTCTAGAAACAAGGCTGAGCTTTGTGAAAGTACAGAAGCCATGCTCTGGAAACCCGGTTCTCCACCAAGTTTCTAACCTGTTCCCCTGTAGTGGAGTTGTTTTTGAAAAAGATGGGTCTTTGTTTCAGCGAGCAAAGGGACAAAGAGTCGCTGTCCATTACTGTGGCCTGGCCCTGCAGGGCGGCGGGGCTCCCAGAGGCACTGCCGCCCACTCAGCCCCTGGGGCTGTGAGGCTGTGGTGAGGAGGTGCAGGCTGGGTCCTTTGGGGGTGGCCTGTAACCCGCCCGAGAGAGGGCAGAGGGTTGTTCTTTGCTCATCCCTTGATGAGCGTTTGCATTTGGAAGAGGCCAATGTCTCGTGCGTGTCCTGCGCAGCCTAGAAGCTGAGCCCGCCGCGGGGACGACGCGGAACGAAGGCAGGCGATCTCAGCAATCACAGGCGGCAGCAGCTCTGCGTGCGTGCTTGCTGTGAGCCGGCCACGCTCAGCGCTCTACATCCGCTAACCCGCCGAACCTGCCGAGAGCACTGTGAGGCAGGTGTACCCCCGCTTTACAGTCAAGAAAACAGGCTGGGGAGCCGACGCCGTGGCGCAGTAGGTTAATCCTCCACTTGCAGTGCTGGCATCCCGTATGGGTGCCGGTTCTAGTTCCAGCTGCCCCTCTTGCAATCCAGCTCTCTGCTGTGGCCTGGGAAAGCAGCAGAAGATGGCCCAAGTGCTTGGGCCCCTGCACCCGCATGGCAGACCAGGAAGAAATGCCTGGCTCCCGGATTTGGATCAGCCCAGCTCCGGCCGTTGTGGCCATCTGGAGAGTGAACCAACGGAAGGAAGACCTTTCTCTCTGTCTCTCCCTTTCACTGTCTGTAACTCTACCTCTCAAATAAATAAAAATCTTTAAAAAGAAAGAAAACAGGTTGTAGCCCGGGCCCTGCCCCTCTGCTGTTTGCAGGTCCTCCCCAGGCAGGTAGGAAACACGACTACACTGGGACAAGCTGGGGGCCAACAGTGGGAGGGCAGCAACCCAGGCCCCTACCCCTCACTCACCGGTCACGCCCACGGTGGACACGGGGCCCACGCGCCGGCCCTCGTGCAGGCCATACAGGTGCATCTTGTACTTGCGTCCCGGCTCCAGGCCCCACACGGTCACCTCGCTCTCCTCGCCCCCGACTCGCACCACTTGGGGCCGCCCGTCCCTGTCCTTGTACTGGACGCTGAAGGAGTCGAAGTGGCCCTGGGGGACAGTCCAGGAGAGGCCCAGCGAGTCCGGGGACGATGCTGTCACTGTTAGTTCCCCCAGGAGGGGCTCCTCGGGGGGCTCTGGGGCCTCCGTGCTGGGCTCTGTGGGGCTGGGGGTCTCGTCCACCACCTCCTGCGTGGCTGAGGGAAGAGAGGGGGACAGAGGCTGTAGGGGTGACCGGCTTGGCTGAGGTAGTCGGGAAGGACAGTGATGTGCACCCAGGGGTCAGCATTTGGTGGAGGGATTAAAATGCCACTTGGGATGCCCGCATCCTGTATCAGAGGGCCTGGGTTCGTGTCCTGACTTCACTGCTGACTCCACAGCTTGGAAGCAGCAGCAATGGCTCAAGCACTTGGGTCCCTCGTCATCCACATAGGAGACCTGGATGGAGTTGCAGTCTCCTGGCTTTGGCTTGGCCCAGCCCCAACTGTTGTGGGCATCTAGGGGGAGTGAAATAACAGACAGAAGCTTTATCTGTCTCCGTCTCAGCATCTCTCTTGCTTTCATATAGAATGCAATAAAAATTAATAAAAATTAAAAAAAATTGTGAAGTGTATCCAGCTGATGAATTCTTCAAGTGTGGGTTTAGCAGGGGCAGGGGGAACACGCGGCCACTCAAAGTCACTTGGTCTGTCCCTGCCAAGGCAACCACAGGTGGGACTCGAAATTCTCCGACTCTATGGCAGGCTCATTTTTAAGTTGCTAACTTTGTATGGCCCACGAGTGACACTATAAATATCCAAATGGCCCTTGGCAAAAAAAAAAAAAAAAAAGGGTTCTCCACCCCTGACTTAGGGCCTTGAGCAGTTGCTAGGAGAAGCCATTGGGTCACTCAGATGCACGAGGGCTGACGACCCCCAGGGCCTGCCCCAGCCTGCTGGCAGGACTGCACCGGTAGGGCCCATAGAGATGGGGGTCACCCTTCATTTCTGAGATGGGGAGAAAGGAGGCCTCAGAGGCTTCTTCTGTGCTGTGTTCATGGCTGACGCTGACCGGAAAGCAAGGTGGGCAGTGCGACCTCTTCCCGTCCTGGTCCTCTCCCAGGTGTCCTCTCGCCAGGACGAGACCATGGAATGGGCTCTTGCTGAGGCCTCCCAAGCAGTCCAGCCCCTCCCTCCCCTGCAACCCTAAGGAATGAAGTGCTACAGCCGGGCTCCTGGCAAGAGTGAGTGAACACTGGGCGGGCGGGGCCTGGCCAGCTGAGATTCTGCCCCCACCCCGCGGGCACCAAGCCACAGCTCTCTGCAGCTAGGCCTTCACGGAGCCAGCCCCTCTGCAATCCACCAAATGCTGGTTCTCAGGCTACCCCTTAGGGACAGGAGGTTGAGGAGGTGACATGCAAGAATGGTGACCCAGGCAAGGATGGGGACGCTAGGGAGCTGGGGAGCAGAGAAAGGCTCCCCGGATGTGGGAGTGTCAGGGGGAGACAGAGTAGGTTACTCTGAAATGGCAGCTTTGATGGGCTCAGCTTGAGTCTAAGGGCTATACGTATATGAGCTCATTGATTTCTTAACGACTTCTGTGTCGTGGCTACCATTATTACCCCCCTGTGACAGAAGGGGAAACTGAGGCACACGGAGTTAAGGAATTTGCACAGGGTCATAAGCTGCAAAGCGGGTGGTAGGAGCCAGGCTGCAGAGTCCATGGCCCTAAGCACTGTGCCACACTACCTCTTGGCAAAGACTGTGGGGGCCATGGAAGGGGCACCGGATGGGGAGAAGAACCGGCTGGGAGGCAGGGCTGAAAGGGAGCCCTGTGCTCTGCTCCATGCTGCTGGGAGGCCCGGGGTCTGGGGCTGGGAGCAGCCCTCTTCATGGCACAAACAAGCTGCTGCCCTTGTCCCTTGGATCTGCCACCTCTGAGCACAGCGGCGATGGTTGATAAGGTGTAGGGAGCAGGTGGCGGGAGCTCAGAGGTGACCACAGCCAGAACCAGGCCGCGAAGGAGCCCAGTGAAAACCGTGGGGCCAGAACACAGCGCTGAAGGGAGGGGGCTGGGGGTGGGAGGACAGATGGAGCAGGGACGAGTCCCAGTATTTGGAGCGGGGACAGATAAGTCCCCCTTCCAGAGGTGGGGAAGTAGAGCCGAGCCAGAGCAGGAGCTGCAGGCTGGGAGAGGGCCTGGGCTGTGGGCGGCAGGGGAGCAGAGGGAGAGAGAGGCCGAGGCTGTGGCAGAGTCCCAGTGAGCCCGAGAAGGTGGAGCCTGGCTCAGCCCGCTCAGAGCAGGGCAGGAGCAGGGGAGGGAGGCCAGGGCGGCGCTGACTCACCCGTCTTGGCCACCACAGACACGGGCCCCACACGCTGCCTTCCATGAAGTCCGTAGAGGTTCATCTTATACTTCCGATCGGGCTCCAGGCCGGGGATGGTGACCTCATTCTCGTCCCCTCCGACGGGCACTGCCCGAGGCTGCCCCTGCGCGTCCTTGTACTGGACCACGAAAGAGTCGAGGGGGCCCTGGGCCACGGTCCAGGACAGGCGCAGGGCATCTGGGGTCACGCCAGTCACTGTCAGCTCCCCTAGGACGGGCTGCTCAGGGGACACGGGTCGGGAGGGCTCCTCTTTCTTCTCTGGGGCTGTAAACAGGAGGATGCAGCCAGGTGCTGGGTGGGCAGCTGCGGCTGGGGCCTGGGCCTGGGACCTGGGGCTTGGATGGAGAGTTACCCCCCCGCCCCGGTGGGGGGTGGTTCACTGCTCGACTAGTGTGAGTGCTAACCTCTGTGGAGTCTGGCCTGGCCAGGGTATGACACACCTTCTGGGACTTGGGGAGCGGCTGGCTGAATGGGATGGATGGGGCCCAACCATGTGGGAGAGGCTGGCTGCCCTCAGCGCGGGAGCAGGGCCAGGGGGCTGGAGGCTGCTGTCTTGCTGGGAGGCCCAGAGGGTTCCTGGCTGAGGGCACAGTGTGGGAGGACGGGTAGGGGTCCCCTGCGGCTCAGGTGGCTGCCACTCACCGGTGGTGCCGTCAGCCGTGAGGGGGCCATAGCGCTTCTTGTTGGCCATCCCAAACAGGGCGAACCTGTACTTGTGGTCAGCGTCCAGGGGAGACACGATGATGGAGCGCTCAGGTCCCTCCACGGGCACCACCTGGGGCCGCCCGTCTCTGTCCCTGTACTGGACCACGAAGGAGTCGAACTGGCCCTCAGGGACAGTCCAGGAGAGCTGCAGTGAGTCTGGGGTAGGGTCGGTCACCCACAGCTTCCCGAGGCGAGGTGCTGTCCCGGGGCTGGGGTCACTCCGAGGCACTAGGAGGCATGGAGAGAGAGAGAGTGAGGGGGACATGGGTCCCGGGAGAAGGGAGGACGCATCTCCCACCCAGGGATGCCGTGTGAGGCTGTGCAGGCTGTTCACTGCACAGAGGCGTATGCTAAGTACAGCGGGATAGAGATCCAGCTTGCCAAGCTGTGTGCCGTGCAGAGGGGCTGTGCCTGCCGGCAGGAAGGGCTGCCATCTCCCAAACGTCACAAAGCATTGTTAGCACGTGCGTGGCCCCAGCGTTTTTCGCAAGCAGGGGGGATGGGGGCTTCAGGGAGAGGAGGGCCTGGCCAGGCCTTCCCACATCCCCAGAGCCAGGGAAATCTTCCCAGCGCAACCTCCACTGCTTCCAGGCCTAACTCCCAGCTGCTTTTTTGTCCACAGGAAGGCGGCACAAGCGTTATCATGGGATAACCCTGCTCCAGGTTGCTCCTCCTGGGGAACCCGGGCCCACTGCTGACCCTCACTCTGCACCACAGCCCTGTTTCTGGCTCCTCGTTCCTCCATCAGCACCCTTAACACCCTCCTGCCCACCCGTCCCGCTGGGCCCGCGTCTCTCCAGCCGCCATCTTCGCTCTTTGCTCTGTGTTCCCAGCCCCAGTTCCGAAAAGAGGTGTTTACGCCAGTTGTAGCCACGTCCTCACCTCCGTCAGGCTCCCAAGCCAGCTCCGTCCCTCACGGGGGCCAGGAGCGACCTCGTCATCGCTAAGGCCTGTGGACGCTCCCGTAGCCTTTGAATCACTTTCCCGGAATCTCAAGAGTTTGGCCGCACCCTCCTCCCCAGCGTCCAGGAGGGCGCGCCGGGCTCTGCCCCTCCCGGCTGGCTGCTCTTCCCCTGCCACTACTCTGAGTGCTGGGCGCCCTCAGCGTTCCGGCGGGGCCCTCTCTTCTCCCCACAAGCCTCCCGCTGGCTCCTGCCCATCGGCGCTGAGAACACCCAGCCCTCTCCCGGGTGCGGTTCAGCCCCGGGGCCCTACCATGCCCTGCTCAGGTGGCCTCTCTGCACCTCCGTGCCCCTGTCTATTGAGTGGGCGTGGCTCACAGGCAGCTATAAGGAGCCCGCTGAGGCCCCTAAGCGTCTGGAGGCTCAGAGCTAAGTGTGCCGCCCGGCTTCCTCCGGCCCCAGACACCTGGGCTGTCTGATCCGGAAACCCAGAGGGTTGCCTGGGCCTCCTTGCTCTCCTTCAGCGGCCCCACTGCCACCAGCCCGGCCCTGTCACCTCCACCACGCCCACCAGCTCTTGGGGCACTTCCCCGCTGGCCTCTACAGCGGTCATAGTCGCATGTAGGACAAACATCGAATCACGTCACTCTCCCATTAGAACCCGTCAGAGGCCTCCAGGGCCCTCCAATGGGGCCAAGGCCCTCAGCACCGCACACACAGCCCAGAGACCAGGCCCTTTCGTTCCCCACCTGCCCTGCTCTCTGGGGGGTGAGGACATAGGCCACTCCCTCTGGCTGCCCACACTGCTCTCCCTGCAGCACTCAGCTCAGCACCACCGCTTGCAGGAAGCCTTCCTGGAGCTCCCAGGGCACTGGGAAGGTGCAGCGGGGAGGGTGTGCCCGCTGTCACTCACAGATCTTGCCTTCAGCCACCAGGGGGCCGTGCCTCTTCTTGCCGACGAGCCCGTACAGGACGAACTTGTACTTGCGGCCCGGCTCCAGGGAGGTGATGGGGACGGAGCGCTGCGGCCCCTCCACAGGCACCACCTGGGGCCCCTCCTTGTCCTTGTACTGGACCACAAAGGAGTCGAACTCGCCCTCGGGGACCGTCCAGTGCAGGAGCAGGGAGTCGGAGGTCAGGCCCGTCGCCGTCAGCTCGCCCAGGCGCGGTGGGCTCGAGGATTTCCCAGGCTTCTCCTCATCCAGGTCTGGGGTTGGGAGGGCAAAAGCACCGCGGCCTCAGCCACGCCCTCATCCCCCTCCCTCTCCTCCGCCCGCCTCACTCCATCCTGACAGCTCCGTGGCCCGCCCTCTGGGAGGGACACATTGCCCCTTCACTTTCTGTTTCTTCCCTACCTAGCCTCTCAGGACCTCTGTGGGAGTTTCAGGTCCCCCACGGCTCTCCCCGTGAGTTTCAAGCCTCCCCATTGCTGCCTCAGAGCAGTCTGAGAGCGCCTCAGGCTGCTGCCTCTCTGGCCGCCCTCTCTCTGTGAGGAGTGGACCAAGAACTGGGGCAAGAGCCAGCCACCCTGGGCCTGGTCCCCTAGAGAGGGTACCCCAGGCCCTGCCCGGCCCTGCTCCTGTGAACCTCATCCAGCCCCAAAGTCCTAATGGCTGCAGGGCCCCCAGCCCACGGAGCTGCCGTGCCCAGCAGAAGTTGGCCAGGTGGGCCACAGGGGGCTGTCCACCGCAAGCCTGGCTCCCAGGGAGGAGGCACGGGGCTGCAGGGAAGGGTCGGGGAGGTGGGGTCTGGGGCTAGAATCCCGGGGCCAGAGGCCCACCCAAGCCCACCCTAAGAGATGGTTAGGCCAGGGTAGGCAGAGGAGTGCCTGGGGAGTGAGGGCAGGACAAGGGCAGGGGGCGGACCGGGGCCTATCCCTGCCTCACCCGACTTTCCTCCTGCACTCTTTTCCCAGAGTACCCACCCCCCATCACCAGTCTAAGGCGCCCTCCATCCTCCTTTGCTCTAAACCCACAACTTTTTTCTCTCTGTCCTCTCCTCCCATGCTGCCCCACGCATCTGCCCTGGCCTTTACTGGCCCCTCAATCCCCCTCCCACCTTTGAGGTCCCCACGGCCCCCAGCTCTCCCCCACCCCAGTCTTAGCACTTTGGTTTGAGCAGAGTCCAAAATGTACCCATAATGCCTTGGTAGGTGATGGGGGCAGAGTGCTTGCCCCTGGGAGGGACCCCATGAAGTGACAGCTCGTAGGGGGCTCCAGGAGGGGGTGGGGGCACCAAGGCCTGGCGGCTGTCCCCTGGCAGCAGCTCCTCATGCGCCCTTGGCCACTCGGGCACCCGCAGGTAGAGCTGGAAGTGGGCGAAGGTGTCGGGCTGGGCGGTCCAGGCCACGCGCAGGCGCCCTGTCTCGTCTCTGCCCAGTACCCGCAGCTCTCCGAGCTCCTGGGGGCGCTGTTGCAGAAGAGGGCCCTGGGCTCCTTGGGTCGTCGAGGGGCCTGAGGGAGGAGGTTCATCGGTAGCCCCCAAGAAGCCTGAGGGTGAGGACCCTGGGAAGGGGCAGGGTGAGAGAAACAGGAGAAGGGAGGGTAAGAGCCAGAAAGGGGGCCCCAGCCCTCGGTTTCTGCCCTCCAGCCTCCAGGGGCCCAGAGACCACCCTGCGTCTCCTCTGGGTTCCACCACTGGGGCCACCCCACCCCACAAAGGGCTAGGCCTTCAACCCCCCACCCAGGGACACATTCCTGAGCACACAGGCAGAGGAACAAAGCCTGTCTCTCTCTCTCTCCCTCCCTCCCTCCCCCTGCAAGGCTTCCCAGTCTGCAGCCCCAGTCTCCACGATGCCCCCCACCATGCATGCCCCTCCCCACTGGTGGCATCCGGCTTCCATTAGTGCTGCAGTGAGAAGTCTGGAAGAGAGGAGGAGGTGGTGCTGTTAGGAGAGGAGGCTGCAAGAGGTGAGTGGGAGGGGAAAGAGGAGAGAGAGGGTGTGTGTGGCGAGAGGCGTCCTGGTCGGGCGACATCTGGAGCCTATGGGAGAAGAAGAGGTTCACCACCCTCCCACAGCAGCCACGGAGCCCGGCCACTGGTCCTGTGGGAGAGACAGGCGCGAAGGGAGCCAGCAGGCTTGGAAAAGCAGCTTCGGAAGCAGCGGTTTCACCCCTCACCACACACACATGCTGCCTGCTGGCTTCAAGCCACCCCCAAGCAGTTCCCTTTGTGTCCTCTCAAGGTCAAGGCCAAATTGTGGGAAGCAGTAACCACAGACCAGTCTTTAGTCACCCTCACCACAGTGAGTCAGAGTGAGAGCCGCTGGCTTCCATTGCCACTGCGAGCGCTCCAGGGAGTCTCTGCAGGCACCGCCCCCCAAAACCAACACCAATGCCCCTTCTTTGGCCTGGACTAACACTCCTGGCACAAGTGTCCTGGGAACCCAGGTGAAGCCCAGGGACCCCAAACACCAGAGCGCCTTGGCCTTGGGTAGGCAGGGACACTGGGTGAGGGTGGCTTCCCGGGACTCGCTGTGCTGTGAGGCTCTCGGGAGCCGGGTTAGACAGGTGCGGTGGGGCGTGGCAGTCTGAGCTGGGAGGCAGTGGGAGGGACTCCGGCAGCACGCTCCAGAAGCAAGTGACTCTGGGGCAGGGGATGTGTGTGGTCCCGCGGCCCCAGCCCACGCTACCTGTGGTGGTGACGAAGGCGTAGGACTTGGAGGTCTGCCCCGCCCGCACCCCGTGGACCTCCACGTGGTAGGTGGTGCCGGGCCTGAGGTCGGGTAGGCTGACGGTCCGCGCGTTGCCCGACACGGTCAGCTCCCCGCCCGGGCCCCGTGCAGGCGGCTGGGGCCGCCAGCGCAGCACCACGCGCTCGAACTGGCCGCGGAGCCCGTCGAGGGACACGAGGAGCGCGCCGTCCGCGGCACTGCCCAGCACCTCCGGCTTGGGGTGGCGAGGCGCGGCCCCCGGGTCGACGCTTTCGGGCGAGAGGCCGTGTCTGCCCTGGGTGGAGTCCCGCTTCCTGGTGCCCGGAGCGGGGCTGGCGGTGGGGTGGGGGCGGCGGGGCGACGGAGCAGGGGAGCCCGCGGGACCCGCGGCCGCGAGGCGCCGCTGCAGGTACTCATGGATGTGGCGCGCCACCGACGTGTAGGTCTGGTTGGCGCGCAGTGGGTAGCCGTGAGCCCGCAGGTGGCGCTCCAGGTCCTGCACCGTGCCGCGGAACCGGCCCAGCTCGGCCGTCAGGTTGGCCCAAGCCCGCCGCGGGGGCTGGGGCAGGCTGGGCCGGGGCCGGGCCTCCTCCTCCCGCTCCTGTGTGGGCCTCGAGGGCCGCGGGGGCCGCTGGGCGGGGCCCGGCCGGGGCTGGGGGGGCGGGGCTGGGAAGGCGCACCTCCGGGTAGCTGTAGTGACCTGGTGCTGCCGAGGGGTGAAAGAGAGCGAGGGAACAGGTCAGCGGCTGCGCCCCCACAACCCCGCACTCCTTCCCTTGACAGCCCCTCCCTCCACGCCGCCCACCAGAACTAAAGGCCGCTTCCCTGCACCCCAGCCCCACCTGAAAGAGAACGTGAGAAATGAGTCGATGTGCCAGGAGCCCCCTCCCCTCTCCCACCCCCAGGCCCACCGCTGTTGCTGCCCTAGGAAAAAGAGAAGCCAGCTGGTGGAACCCTGCATCCGACGACGGAGAAAAGGGGGCTGGGGGAGAGAACGTGAGTGACAGCAAGGCGGGTGTCCCCCGCTGGCACAGGAGGAGAGGAGGAAGTTCCAGGCATCTGTTAAGAAATCTTGAGGGTTAGTGGAAAATTACGGCGACCTCAGTCCTGGAGGCAACAGGACTGCTGCTGTCTGATCTGCCTCGTTCCCAGATCTGTCAGCACAAGGAATGTCCCTCTGCCCTCACTTGGGTAAGAACGGCCTCGGCTGGCTGGGTGGGACAGCATCTCTCCATGGGGCAGTTCCTCCCTCGTCTAACCTGCAGCCCTCTCTACGGGACCCCAAGCACCTGCAGGCCCTGTCTTCTCCCTGCCCCATGAGGCAGGTGCTTTGGAATTGCCACACACCCTACCAAACTCACAGTGGCTGTGAGCCCCAGGACCTGGCTCCCGAGCAGGGAGCTCCTAGCCTGGGAAACCAGGGCCCTCCCCTTCGCCGCTGGCCAGCCGTACCTGTGTTGGCTCTGATGGAGGCTGGGTAGCTGACGGCACGGCCCCTCTCAGCGGTGACGGTCACCACATATTCCACACCTGGCATCAGTTCGGTCAGCACTGTTCCATCTGCTTCCGGGGGCACTTCCAGCCGCACCCTCTGGTTGCCGGCACTCACATAGGACACCACGAATCGGTCCACTTCGGCCTGGGGGCGCAGCCAGCTGAGATCCATCGTGGTTGGTGTCACGGCCACCACGCGGAGGTCCTGGGGCCCATCGATCACTAGCCGGGTGAGAGCGAGGAGGGCTCAGGTGGAAGTCCCGTCCTTCGGTCATCAGCTTTCTGTCCAAGAGCCCAGCCCCCATCCGGTCCCTGATTCCCAGCTGCCCCTCTCAGCTGGCAGGTGTCCACCCAGGACCCCACCCGCCCGGCCCTGGTTCTCACTGGTGGTAATGGTCTTAGAGGCAGGGGGCCCCCAGCTGGTCCCACGGAGGGCACGGACGGTGACCTGGTACTCCTGACCCGGAGCCAGTCCTCTCTGGTCGTAGGCTGAGGCAGAGCTAGGCACCCGTGCTGTGAATGGGGGGCTCGCCCCCTCTGTCTGTGAGAAAGAAGGGGAGCAGGGATCAGGGGCTGGTACTCTTCGTGCCTGCCACTCAGTCTCCCTTGTCTCATCTTTCTCCAGTCCCAAACAGTGTCAACATGAGACTGTGTGAAGTGTGGCCCTGCACCAGCAGGTGCAAACACACCAAGAGCATTCCTCCTGCTAGCCCCCTAACAGGCCATTTACGTATATGAACTCACTTAATGTTCACAAACACCTATGAGACAGGCACTGTTAGTCCCATTTTACAGATGAAAAAACTGAGATGCAGAAGAATAAGTGCTTTGCCACAGTCACTCACACCGAGAAAGGGGCAGGGGTTTAGCCGGGAGTCCCCCGCACAGGCATTCCCCATTCACCTGCCACAATTGCATTCAACACACACAAGGCTTTCCCGTGGCAACCCTGACTACCTGGGCCTGAGGAGCCTTCTACGCTCGTTCCTTCCAGAACTGATGAAATGGGTGGGGGGTGCCCCTGTTACTTTCACTTCATCCTCAGGGCATATGCCTCTGGGTGTGACCCTGACAGGGCTTGTCTTGTTTCTTCAGCAGGCAGACAGGCTGTCAGAGTAAGACCCGCCTGCTCCAAATTCCACAAATAACGTTTCCTGATTTCTGATTTTATACCTGGCATCCTGCTGGGTTTTCAAGACCCCAAAACAAAAGATGTGGTGGTCCCTGTCGGCTGGTGGCTCATACTCTGGTCGTTGCAAGAGTGACTTAGAAAATTTGGGGAAATGGAATTAAAAAAAAAAAACAAGTTTATATTTTGGTGCAAAAAAATGGAAATTCATGCATACTTTTTTCATCATAGGCGTTTTCCATGAATGTTTTGAAGATCCTTGCTTATGCACAGATATCAAATGTTTTTTGCACCAAGATAAACTTATCTTTTAATTCCATTTTCCATGAATTTTTCCAAGTGTTCCCGTTTGTATGGCCATGTGTTAAGTTTTATGAGATTCTGGCATAAATATCTGAGTGCAGCAAATGCCACGTGGCAAATCCTCCTCCTTCCCGTGTGCCTTGAGGGTGGTGTGATGGTGTGTGGTGGCCCCGGGGGCAACCTGCCAGGCCCCTGCCCAGGCGGGGTCCCCTGGGCACTGCTGCTGGGGAGGCAGGAAGAGCTGCGCCCGAGGAGCCTTCTACCAGCTCTGGGTTTCGCTGGGCGGTGCGGCCAGGACAGCCACCAAGGACACTCTGTTCTGCTGAGCTGTGTTGGCCACGATGGGAACACCTCCCCTCGGCCAAGTAGGATTGGAAATTTCTAAGGTACTCTCCCAAAGCAAGAGAATGGCGCAGAAACCAACCTAGGAAATACCAAGTACAAAACCAGATGAGAGGCCACGTCGAGATGTCTGAGTTGAGGATGCAATAAAGTTTTGTCAGAGTTTCCTGGGCTGACGGGGGTTCCTAGGCACACGGGATCCTGTCCCTCTCCCACTCATCCTGCCCTGGGACGTCCCAGCCCAGCAGACTCGGGCCAGCCTCAACTCTCAACCCGAGAATCCTCGTGCTTCTCACCTCCTCCCTCTCACCTCCCCCTTCTTGTTTCCCTCAACACACACCTCTTGGTGCTCCGTGACTGTGTCTGGTTCTTTCCCCGAGGCAAGCCTGTCCCCGGAGTCCTGCGTCTTCCTTTGGACCAATCATATCTACATCTGTCTGTGTGTCTGTTTGTCTTTCCATCTGACACCTCTGGGTTCCTCCTGAGACCCATTTGGGGACAGTCCCCTGAGAGTCCCACTGTCAGCATGTCTCCCAGCACTTCCTCACTGATCTCTAGCCCAATGCTCCATGACAGATTTGGCTACCTCACTTGTTCTTGGCGAGTTAGAACTTTGTTCCCACTATGAACCTCGTGACCCGAGATGGAGGACTCCACCTTGGCCTTGGATTTTTTTTTTTTTTTGACAGAGTTAGACAGTGAGAGAGAGAGACAGAGAGAAAGGTCTTCCTTCCATTGGTTCACCCCCCAAATGGCTGCTACGGTCGGAGCTATGCCAATCCAAAGCCAGGAGCCAGGTACTTCCTCCTGGTCTCCCATGCAGGGGCAGGGGCCCAAGCACTTGGGCCATCCTCCACTTCCCTCCCGGGCCACAGCAGAGAGCGGACTAGAAGAGGAGCAACCGGGACTAGAACCCGGTGCCCATATGGGCTGCTGGCGCCGCAGGTGGAGGATTAACCAAGTGAGCCACGGTGCCGGCCCTGGCCTTGGATCTTAACCTCACCCTCATTTCCCTTTTAAGACAAGACCTGGGGCCAGCGCTGTGGCATAGTGGGTAAAGCTGCTGCCTGCAGTGCTGGCATCCCATATGGGGGCCAGTTTGAGTCCCAGGGGCTCCACTTCTGATCCAGTTCCCTGGGAAAGCAGGGAATTGCCCCCCACCACTGCCCAGTTCCTGGGAAGGCAGCAGAAGATGGCCAAAGTCCTTGGATCCCAGTACTCATGTGGGAGACTGGATGAAGTCCCTGGCTCCTGACTTCAGCCTGGCCCAGCCCTGGCCATTGCAGCCATTTGGGAAGTGAACCAGCAGATGGAAGATCTCTCTCTCTCTCTCTCTCCCCCCACCTCTCTTTGTAACTCTTTCAAATAAAATAACTAAATCCTTAGACAAAGAAGAAAAAAAGACAGACCCAAACAAAACAAAAAACTTTCTTAAAGCTGTAAGGTCTTCTGGCGCAAGGAGCACTTGGCATAGCGCTGGTTCCAGGCTGCAGAAGATGCCCAGACAAGGAAGACTCAAGCTTCTTTAGGATCCAGAGTTCACCTTCCTCAGCGTCCCTGTGCTTCCTCTCATGGTTGGAACGGAGCCAGCATCTTCCAGGTAGCAGCGATCCTCGAGTCAGTGGTCCTGTGACTTGAGGTGCATTTGGAGGCTGCAGCTGGCTAAGCGCTGCTTGGAACACCCGCACCGCATGTCAGAATGCAGTGTGGAATGCCGGTTCCAGTTCCCGCTCCTTGGCTTCTCACCCAGCTCCCTGCTACTGTGCCTGGGAGGCAGTGGAAGATGGCCCAAGTACTTGGGCCCCTGCCACCCACATTGAGGACCTGGATGGAGTTCCTGGCTCCTTCCTTCAGCCTGGCCCAGCCCTGGCTGTTCGACCACTTGGAGAGTAAACCAGTGGATAGAAGATCTCTCTCTCTCATTCTGCCTTTCAAATAAATAAATAAATAAATGTATTTAAGAAGAAGAAGAAGATGAATAATAATAATTATTATTACCTGGAAGACTTGCTGTAACACAGGTTACTTGTCTGCAGATCCTCTGATTCAATAGATTTGGAGGTAGAGTCTGATCACTTGCATTTTTTATTAATTTTTTAAAATTTATTTGAAAGGCTCAGATACAGGGAAAGAGAGAGAGAAAGAGGGAGAAACAGAGAACTCTTGTCACTGATTCACTCCCCCAGGATGGGCCAGGCCAAAGCCAGGAGCCCAGAAGTCAATCCAGGTCTCCACATGGTGGCAGGGGTCCAACTACTTGAGCCCATTGTTCCCAGGTGTGTGCGTTAGCAGGAAGCTGGGATCAGGAGCAGGGCTGGGACTGGAACCCAGGCCCTCCAACATGGGCTGGGGGCATCCCAAGTGGTGACCTAACAGCCCCCTTGACCACTCATGTTTCTACCAAGCTCCCTGGCCCAAGAACACACCGAGAACCACTGAGTCAGTGTAACAATGCCACATAGGCAGGGAGAGGGGGAACAGTCTTCCGTGTTCTGAAACTAATTCCAATAACGCGGTGTGGCTTCGGCCAGGAAGAGCAGAGTTTGGGCTGAAAGAGAGACGTGCTTCTGGCAAGGGGGAGGGATGGGGTAGAGACAGGCTCCTAGGCAGATGGCAGTGGTCCGAGGACAGCCAGCTACTGAGGACACTTCAGGTCAATGGAGAGGGTCAGAGAGCACTGCCTGAGGCCAGTCACCGCGAGAGCAGAGGGCACGGGCTGGTGTCTGGGGACCAGGTTTACAGGAGCGTCTTCCCTGAATGTGACAGAGGCCTACGCTCGGAGCAGGGCGGTGAAGCAAGCAGGGCCCAGCCTGGCACCACGGGGCTCTGGGGGAGAGGAGAAGTCGGAGCTGCAGATGGGAAGCTGCCCCCCCAACAGCACCCAAAGATGGATGTCTATTTACTCAGGGTGGGAGACAGCGTGTGGTGAGCCTCCTTGTATCTCAAGTGTTTATTTTAATTCTTTCCTTAAAGTTTCCTCGGGAAATTCTTTTTAAAAGTCCCGCCCTGTTAAGATTAGAGCTATGTAAATAATATGCACACAGAAGAGTGGGAGAAACACTTTAACATGTTCACTGTGCTTGTTTTAGTGTGAAACAGCCAAGAACTATTTGCTGTTCTTTGCTGTAGTTGCCAAATTCTTGTCTCAGGAGTAAATTATGTTTATAGCAAATAATAATTTCTAATTCAAGAAGAAAATCCAAGCTGTCTTAGTTGTGCCACAAAATAGGACCGTCTGCCTCTGCTTTGGCCAGAGAGTGGGCAGGATGGAACCTGCGGGGAGGTGGCCGAGAAGCCCAGGCGAAGGGGGGTAAGGATGACAGTGGCACCTCTGAGCTGTCCGTCCCTGCTGTTCCAGCATCTTCTGCAGCTATCGGTCAGGGAGTTGTTTGTCTTCCCATCGTCCTGGCTGGGCTGATGGAGACACGGGTGGCAAGGCCCACCCTCCCATGGCACTCGGGGGAAGGTGCAGGGAAACAAGGCTGGGTGGTGGGTGCAAATGTCAGGTGATTTGGAGACAAGAGAACAACCCTATCCTAAAAAGGCCAGTCCACAGAATGGGAGGTCCCCAGTGGGGGGCCCCCTAAGACCTTAAAAATACGTTGGAGGGAGAGAGAAAGGATGCTTTGCCCTGCGCTGAGGACACGGCAGTGGGAGCACAAGTTCATGGACTCGAAAGGATTGCAATAGCCTGGACAGCTTGGCCCAAACCGAAGGAGATAACATTGAGCAGAGCCAAAGGGAAGGTCTATATTTAGGCTGAAACACTGTACTGTGTATACAGCCGAATGTTCTCGCCCGCCGCCCGCCCTCCCTTCTTTCTTCTTGCTTCTATATATGTGGTCTAAATTTTTTGTGCTGGGCCTAATACTTAGGACTTTTATTTTAAAAAGTTATGTTTAGAAAATGAATGGAATTGAAGCAGCTGACAGTCTGTGAGTACAAGTTAGCAGAAGCCCACTCTGCAAAAAGTGCCAGTGAGTCCAGAGTAGCCGGTGGGCCCCTCTCTGCCCACCTGGACCACGGTTTGAGGGGCATGTGCAAAAAGCAGGCGGCGCAGGGAGGTGAAGGTTTCAGGGGACAAAGCCTTAGGGGAACGTGGTGAAGAAACCAGGGAATTTTTCCGGGTCAGGATGAAGGCCATGAGGGCTGAGGTCTGGGTATTGGACTCAGGGAAAGCAAAGAAATATTCCCACAGCCTGAGAATGCCCAGCCAGTGCCAATAGCTTGGCGTTAGGATACAGAAAGATCTGGATTCAGCAACACAAAGAGCTCACAGGGATGACCAGCAAGGGACTGGAAAGCCGCAGGAAGCTCTGAGCCCACTGTCACCAGAGGTGCTCCAGCTGCCCTGGACCAGCGCTGGCTGGAGATGCTGCTGAGGTTCCTGTGCTGTGCCTGGCAGGGTATGGAGCTTCAGGAACCCAGTCACCTGATTCCTTGGAACTTCCTGCAAGAGATGAGCCCTCCCAGCCCCAGTCCTGCCCGCTCAGCCCTCTGCTCACCGTGGGGATGAACTGGATTTCGTAGGCATCCACGGGGCCCGGAGCCCGGGTCCACTCTGTGCGAACAGTGGTCTCCTCCAGCAGGTGCATTCTCATGTTGTCAATGGTGGGGATCTCTGCCCAGGAGAAGGGGACAGGGAAAGCTGGTTAGCGCCAGGCGGCCACCCCCACCCCCACCAGCGCAGCCCGCTTTACCCAGGTCCACACCAAGAGGTCCAAGGGAGGCTTCTCCTTGGTGGGTGAAAAGCTAGCAGAGGCCTGGACAGGGCCAGGGTCTCCTTTCTCTTTGCCTAAGCTCTGAGAACAAAGAGTCTCCCTAAGTGTAACCAGAGGGGCCCCCGAACTGCTGCTCAGGAATCTGCAGGCCCCATGGAGCTTCCTTCCAGTTCCCCTCTGTTCTCCTCAAGCTCCTGCTTCAGAATCCTAGTCCGCCACAACCCTCACTGGGGCTCACCTTCCCCACAGTCCTCTCCGGCGTAGCCGTCTTGGCAATGGCAGCTGCCCTCCCGGCACTCTCCCCTGCCGAGGCAGTCCCTGGGACACGTCTGGATGGCGCAGTCGGGGCCTTGGAAGCCCTCCACGCACACACACTGGCCGGCGCGGCACAGTTCCCGGGGCCCGCAGCCCCCGGGACAGGCGCTGGCGGGAGGCTCTTCTTGCCCGCAGTCCTCGCCGCTGTAGCCCGCATGGCACACACACACTCCTTGCACGCAGCGCCCGCGGCCCCGGCAATCGGCCAGGCAGGTGCGCGTGGCGCAGGCGGGGCCGGTGTAGCCTTGGTCGCACACACAACGCCCGTCCTCACAGCGGCCACGCCCGTGGCAGTTGAAGGGGCAGGTGCGAGTGGCGCAGTCCTCGCCCGGCGTAGCCCTTCCCACAGCTGCACACCCCATCCTGGCACACGCCATGCTGGCTGCAGTCTTGCGGGCACCGCCTCACGCCGCAGTCCTCGCCAGAGTAGCCGTCGTCGCACGCACAGCGCCCATCCAGGCACTGGCCGCGGCCTCGGCAGTCCCCGGGGCAGCTGCGCAGCCCGCAGTCCTCCCCGCTGTAGCCCGCGTTGCACACGCACACGCCGTTCTCGCAGCGTCCGCGGCCCCGGCAGTCCCCAGGGCATCGACGGCTCCCGCAGTCCTCGCCCGTGAAACCTGGGTTGCACACGCATCGGCCGTCCACGCAGCGTCCGCGCCCGCGACAATCTCCAGGGCAGGCGCGCGTACCGCAGTCCCGGCCCGTGTATCCCGGCCAACACACGCAGCGGCCGCTCTCGCAGCGGCCCCGGCCACGACAATCCCCGGGACAGCTGCGCACGCCGCAGTCCTCGCCGCTGTAGCCCGCGTTGCATACGCACACGCCGTTCTCGCAGCGCCCGCGGCCCCGGCAGTCGCGCGGACAGGCGCGCGTGCCGCAGTCGGGCCCGGTGTACCCCGGCCAGCACACGCAGCGCCCGTCCTCACAGCGGCCCCTCTGGCTGCAGTCGCCGGGGCAGCGGCGCACGCCGCAGTCGTCCCCGCCGTAGCCCGGGTCGCAGATGCATTCGCCGTCCTCGCAGCGCCCGCGGCCCCGGCAGTCGCGCGGGCACGTCCGCGTGCTGCAGTCCTCGCCCGCGTACCCAGGCCAGCACACGCAGCGGCCGTCCACGCAGCGCCCGCCCTCGCCACAATCCCAGGGACAGACCCGCCCGCCGCAGTCGTCGCCAGTGTAGCCGGGGTCGCACACGCAGCGCCCGTCCTCACAACGCCCCCTCTGACTGCAGCCTCGGGGGCAGCTCCTCTGCCCGCAGTCGTCGCCGGTGTAGCCCGGGTCGCACACGCAGCGCCCATTCTCGCAGCGTCCTCTCTGGCTGCAGCCTCGGGGGCAGCCCCTCTGCCCGCAGTCCTCGCCGGTGTAGCCCGGGTCGCACACGCAGCGCCCGTCTTCGCAGCGTCCCCTCTGGCTGCAGCCTCGAGGGCAGGAGCGCTGGCTGCAGTCGGGCCCGGAGAAGCCAGCCCGGCACACGCACACACCCTGCACGCAGCGCCCGCGGCCTTGGCAGTCCCCGGGGCACGAGGGCCAACTGCAGCTGGGGCCCGTGTAGCCGGGGAAGCACACACAGCGACCGCGCACGCAGCGGCCCTGATCGTTACAGTCGTCGGGGCAGGACCCAGAGGCTGAGGGCGCCGAGGAGGGGGGCAGGGCAGCGTCTGTGGGGTCGGAGCAGGTGGGCCCACCCCAGCCTGGCTCGCAGGAACAGGTGCAACGGCTCAGGTCGAACACTCCGTGGAGGCTGCAGAGGCTCCGCACATCTGTCTGGCCTGGAGCGGGAGGGGGAGGGGCATGTCTCAGGCTCTCAGGAGGGGAGAGAGGCTGAGCCCATTCCTGCTCCTAGAAGTTGATTCTGCCAGCGAGCCCCCTTCCCAAGGCTTGGTAGCTCCCAGGGCCCTGGCATATGCTTAGGCTGACGTTTAACCCAGCTTTGTGCTCCAAGTGGTGCCCTGGGCTGTACCCCTAATAGTGAGGAAGGAGTGCCTTTCCCTAATTTGTACCCCGACCCTTTAAGGATGCCCACTCTGCCCCAGCTCTCCACTTCCGCCTCTTCTTCATTGCCCCCCTTGTAGGACTGCCGCTCACCTGTGCCCGCCTGGGCAGCAGCAGGACAACAGCCCCCTGTGCACTGTTCCTTGAGCCCCTTCACCAGCTCTTCCAGCATCTCCAGCCGGATCCTCAGGGCCTGCACCTCTGAAGCAGGGACGGGGGGCTCCGTGCCAGGGGGGCAGCCACAGCCAGCAGAAGGGGGCAGGTTAATTCGGTGGGTGAAGACCACCTGCTTCTCCCCACCTTCCACTGTGTGCTCGTACAGCTGTGAAGAGGGGCTTCCACCACCTGTCTCCGCGGTGCGGCCCCCAGGCTGCGGAGGGGGCCGAGGGGCAGAGAGTGTCACATTGGACCGTGGAGAGAAGGGGCCTGCTCTGGCTGTGCCCAGCAACAGCAGGAGAGCCAGACCACAGCCGAGGGGGCACTGGGCTGGCATCATGCAGGAGGCTGCAAGGAGAGAGGGCGAAGTGTGAGTGCAGCTTTGCAAAAGAAGAGACAACATGGACCCAAACACGTACCCATCGCTTGACTAACAAGCTCCACAATGGAGCCACCCCACTCACCTGTGTGTAAAATTCCACGTTCAGCCCAAGCCTCAGGGATACCCCCTCATCCCAGGCAGATCTGGCCTCCACCTCTCTCTGATGTCATTTGGCCACCTTGCCTCCACCTTGTTGACTGTGTTCCCCCCATGGGTCTTTGGTCCCACGAACACTGGAAGCCTACAGCAGCCCAAGGGCCTTTGCACGGTCTGTGCCCTCTGCTGGGGATGCTCTTCCCTCAGCTGTTAGAGGCTGGCTCCTTCTTGCTCAGTCCTAACTCACACGTCACCAACCGCAACTTGGTGTGCCCTCTTCTATTTCTCCCACTGCTAGAACAGGAGCTCCGTGAGGACAGGGACCCCTGTGTCCTGGTGCTTCTGTATCCCTGTGCTGTGCAGTACATCAACCTTGGGTGCATTAGCGGATGAGTGGCCAGGGCCAGTCCCTTCCCGGGTACCTGGATCCTAGCTCCTATCGTCTTCTCAGGCTCCTAAGGCACAGATGAATCCTCTCTCTCTGATTCAATCCCTCCCTCTCAACTACATCCTTCTCATCAACATTTATACACGCTCAAGTTTCTCCATTAAAAAAGACAAAAGCGTGTTTCTCAGGACTTACATGATCAAATTTCAAAACTTGTAAAGTTGCTAGGATAGACAGATGGAACTGAATTGGGTTGAGACATAGAGCTGAGCTACAGTTAAAAGTAGAAACAGAGTGCTCTTTTCAATAAGTGGGGGAGGGCAGCTGCAGCTCCATATGGGGAAAAATAAATCTCTACCTTACGTCCAGCTGCAGAGAATGATTTGAGATGGGTTGTGTAAAGGTAAAGCTGTTCTTTTTATAACAATATGCACAAAAGGAAAAAAAAAGGTAAAAATCTTTGGGGCAAGCAAAGGTTTAGGTGGAACACACAGCCAAACCATTAAAAAAAAGATATATTGGGCCGGCGCTGCAGCTTACTAGGCTAATCCTCTGCCTTGCAGCGCTTGCACACAAGGTTCGAGTCCCAGTCAGGGCGCCAGATTCTGTCCCGGTTGCCCCTCTTCCAGGCCAGCTCTCTGCTCTGGCCAGGGAGTGCAGTGGAGGATGGCCCAAGTGCTTGGGCCCTGCACCCCATGGGAGACCAGGAGAAGTACCTGGCTCCTGCCATCGGATCAGCGCAGTACGCCGGCCACAGCTGCCATTGGAGGGTGAACCAACAGCAAAGGAAGACCTTTCTCTCTGTCTCTCTCTCTCACTGTCCACTCTGCCTGTCAAATAAATAAATAAATAAATAAATAAAGATATATTGGAATTCTCACTAGAATTGACAACCTCTAGTCATCAAATAACATCAGTAGGAGGATAAGAAAGCAAGCCACGGACTCAGAGAAAGTATGTGAGATATTGGGTGGGGGAGGGGACCAAAAGCTAAAATAAAGAACTGCAAAACAAAACAACAAGCAAACGGCATGAAACTCAGTTTTTTTTTTTTTTAATTGGCAAAAGGAGTGGGAATTTGGCCTCGCAGTTAACGTGCTGGCTGAGGCACCCACGCTTCATAGATGAGTGCCTGGGTTTGATACTGGCTCCAGCTCCTGACTCCATCTTCCTGTAACGGGGACCCTGAGAAGCACTGGTTATAGCTCAAGCAGTAGGATTCCTCTCACTCACATGAGAGACCTGCATTGGGTCTGGGACACAGCCATTTCGGGAGTGAACCAGTAGATGGGATCCTACTTCAAATAAATAAGCAATATGATATAATACACATTAAAATAAATAAAATAGACATAAGACTTAAGCAGTTTCTCCAGAAAAGAATATATCCAAATGGCCAATAAATCTATGAAAACATGTACAACATCACTACTCATCAAGAAAACACAATGGGGCTGGAGTTGTGGTGTAGTGGGTAAAGCTGCCACCTTCAGTGCCGGCATCCCATATGGGCGCTGGTTTGAGTTCCAGCTGCTCCACTTCCCATCCAGCTCTCTGCCCAGACTGGAAATAACTCAAGTGTCCATTAATACTAGATGGAGTAAATAAATGGTGGCAGAATCAGACAGTGTAATTCTATACAGCAATAAAAAGAAGCCAGTAGATGGTGGCATGTGGTAATGTCACGCACATAATGCTGAACGAAAGAATCCAGACACAAAAAGAGAACTCTATTTGATGCCAATTTTTATGAATTTTGAAAACAGGTTGGGGCCGGTGCTGTGGCACAGTGGGTTAACGCCCTGCCTGAAGCTCCGGCATCCCATATGGGCACCTGTTTGAAATTGGCTGCCCTACTTCCAGTCCAGCTATCTACTATGGCCTGGGAAAGCAGTAGAAGATGGCCCAAGTCCTTGGGCCCCTGCACCTGTGTGGGAGACCTGAAAGAAGCTCTTGGCTCCTGGCTTTGGATTGGCACAGCTCCAGTGATTCAGGCTAATTGGGGATGCAAGAACTCTCTCTCTCTCTGCCTCTCCTCTCTCTGTGTAACTCTGACTTTCAAATAAATAAATAAATCTTTAAAAAAAAAAAAGAAAGAAAGAAAACAGGTGGAGCTAATCTTTGCTTTTAGAAGACAGAATAGGTTTACCTTTTGGGATGAGTCAAGAGACATTTCTGGATGTGTTTTGTATCTTGGTCTGGGTGGTAGTTGAAAGATGTATGTGTGTGTGTGTGTGTGTGTGTGTATCAAACATGCAATTTGTACATTAAATTGTCTGAACATTAAGCTTGAAAAAATCTTTCTCCAAACTTACACCCCTTCCAGCCACCACGTACTGTCTCCTCTACTCATGGCTACAATGACCAAAAGACTTATCTGTACTTGCTGTCACCATTTTCCATACGCTGTGAGTATGGGATATTCTTTAACACACTCCTCTCTTGTTTTTCCATGCCCCGTTCAACCCACCGAACAGTGGCCCCTGAGGTCTTGCAATGACCTCAGTGTCAGAAATTCTAAGCAACATTTGTCTTCCTGTTATCTGACTGCTTTCAAAATCCAGACTGGACACCAGTTGACCACATTTTCCATTGTAAAGCATCCTGTGTCCAGGCTGTCCAGTGTGGTAGCCAGGAGGCATATAAGCCTCTTGAACACTTGGAATGTGGCTAGAGTGACTGACGGATTGACGTCTACCCAGTAACTCAGTCACCAGTGGGGATGCCCAGGTCCCAGCAGAGTGATGCCTTTCTCCAGCCTCTGAGTCCAGCTTCCTGCCACTGCAGACCCTGGTAGCAGCAGTGAGAGACCTGGGTTTAGTTCTTGGCTCTCAGCTTTGGCCTTGGCCCAACCTCAGCTGTCACGGGCATTCAGGGAGTGAACCAGCATGTGGAGTGGGAGTTCTCCATCTGCATCTCTGTCTCTCTGCCTCTCAAATTCGACAGAGACAGACAGATGGAGAGTTGCTATCCACTGGTTCACTCCTCAAATGCCTTCAATGGTTGCAACTGGGTCAGGCTGAACATGGGAACCAGGAACTCAATCCAGGTCTCCTCCATGGGTGGCAGGAACCCAGTTACTTGAGCCATCACTGCTGCTTCCTAGGCTCTGCATTAGCAGAAAGCCGGAGTCGGGAGCAGGTTGGTAAAAGGCTCAGGCATTCCAATAGAAGACAAGACATGGGTGTCTTCACCACCAGGCCACGCCCACCTCAATACACAAACCTTAAAAAACAAAGAGCTCCCCGGATGACTGCAGAATGCAGCAGGGTTCACCCTGCAGCTCTAGCCACCCGCCTAGGCACCTTCAGCCAGATTCACAACTTTCACTTCCACACTATACATCAGTTTGTAGAGCCAGCCCAGTGACCTCCACCTGCCTACTTGGCACGCCCTCTGGGGCACCTCAGCTTCAGCACCTTTGAAACTGAACTCACGATCCTCCCTCCTGTGCCCAGTCCCCTCCCGGCGTCCCCTACTGCAGTGCACGGTCCCACCATTCCTGTGGCTTTGCAAGCTGGACACCTAACAGCCCCATTCCCCGCCATCCCCTTTCCTCATACTTACATTCTCTGCTGACATCACTTTCAGTCATCCCCTCGTCTCTCACTACCCAGCTCCTCCCTGACAACCACTACGGCCTCCTCCCTCAACCCTCTGCTTCCACTCTTGCCCTCTACAATCCTGCCAAGGCAGCCAGAAGTTTCCTCCTTGAAAATTCTGCTGCTTGAGCTCTAACCAATGCTTCTCAGGGTCCCCGTTAGCAGGAAGATGGAGTCAGGCGCTGGAGCCAGTATCGAACCCAGGCACTCAATGTCTCTCTTGCAGATTCTCTCAACACTGACAAACAGCCTGCACCGTGTGGCCCCGCTGAGCTCCCCCCACCCTGTCCCCCATACGCCTCTCTCCACCTCTGTTCTCCAGCCACACTGGCCTTACTCTTTGTGTGACTTCCCAACCCCAGACCTTTGTACACACTGCTCCCTCTACATGGAAACCTTTCCTTTCTCTCTTGGCCCTCATCCTTCAGGTCTCAGGTACACGTCCCTTCCCCAGATCACGGCCCCATCACGCGATATCACAGCACCACAGAATTCTCACTTGCAGGATTTGTGCTCCTTTAGTCATGTAAATACACGTCATGTTCTTTCATTACTTTCTTGCCCACTCTCAGTCTTGCCCACTAGAGTATAATGTCCACGGGGGCAGGCGGAGCATCTGCCTTTTTTCTGAGCTCCTGTGCCCTTGCATCCGGCACATAATAGGTGTTCAAGACATGGCTGTTGACTGACTGTATGAAGGAATGCAAAAATCCAACTGAAGCCCAGAACCAGCATGAAGGCCGGACCATGGGCAGGGTTAGGACCACGGACAGTGTCTGGGACAGGAACTTGGTTGCAAACAGTAGCTGGGGCAGAAGCAGAATCAGAGACCAGGCCAGGGCGGATCCTGGAAGCACCACATCTGGAAAACTGGCAGAATCTACCAAATTTACCAAAGCCAAGCACAGGCAAGCCTTATGACCCGGCATTTCTACCCCTAGAAATATTCCCAACATGGCGGTATTACTCATCACCACCCAAATGTTTCACGAATGGATCAGATAACTGTGGTTTGCTCCCACAGTGGAATACGGTGAAGCACTGAGAATGAGCTACACTCTATGCAATAGCATGGCTGCAGCAAAGGAGCCAGACGCGTCCGAGGACGCACCGCAGAATCCTATCTATTACGAGTCTAAGGGAGACGACATTAATCTGGAGTGTTCTGGCTGGAGCTGTGCCCTCTCGAAGGAAGGGTGAGGCAGAAGAGGCACCACGGGGCTGAGTATCTTGTTCTCGACCTGGGTGAGGTTGGCCAGTTCTGTTTGTAGAGCGGAGGCAAGCATTGGGCAGCACAGGGAGCCAAAGAAGTGAGTGGAAAGGAGAGAGATAGGGGAGGGGGCTCCGGTGAGCAGGGGACTGGGGAGGGGGTGGGTCAGAGGTGGGGAGGGGTGTCGGCCACAGAGACTGAGGGGGAGGGGCCGGAAACAGCTGAAGACAGGGCAGGGGCTGTGAATGCTGACTGGATCCCCCCACCCCCAGCACACACACTCACACACTCACACTCACACACTCACACTTCCTGGCTTCCTATTCTAAAAAATCTCCTCTAGACAAGTGACAAAGACATTGTCAGGGCCACTCTACCACCAGGCAGCCAGGGATGGAAGGACAGACTGCTGCCCCAGGAGGCACCTGCCCACGGCCCTGCGGGGAGATGGGAGGCGGGCATGCAGACAGCGGCCCTCTCCTGTGTCCCCAGCCCTTCTGTCACCTTGGAGGATCGCCTGCCCTCAATCCTGTCATTCTGTGTGGCAGGCCAGGCAGATTACCCCTGCACCAACCTCAGGGTTGGGTGGGGGCAGGGGAGACTGTGCACACACGTGTAACATGTACAAGTATATTCCTGTGTGTTTACCCACAAGGACAGGGCTACCTCAAGAAGTCTGTGGAAGATGGAATGACAAGATAAATCAGTTGGGTGCCAAAAAAATTGAAATCCAAGTAGAATTCTGTCATAATATGCGTTTTCCCATCCATTTTTGAAGCCTCCTTACACAAAAGTGAACACACCTGCACATACATACACATAGCCAGCCCAATAAGCCTGCATCGCTGCATGCACACACACGTGCATATGCGTGTACACACACACACACACACACACTCTCTCCCCCTTCTTCCCTTCCACACCTAGTCTCTGGGTGATGCCTAAGGAAGCCAGCTACCCAACGCAGGGGCTCAAGGGCAGCTGCATGAGTCAAAGAACCTAGGTGGAGTTCAGGAAACCAAACAGCAGGCCCCTCCCAGGAGAGGAGAAGACGACTCACAGCCCCTGCCTTTCCACAGCCCCGGGGCCTCTGGCAGTCGTCCAGTGCTCCCCAGCCCCCACCAACGTGGATACCAGGTCTCCCCTTGTAGCAGGGGACAAGGAGAAGGTCTCAGAAGCCAGCAGCTGGGCTGGTCCAGAAGACAGGCTCAGCCCCCTGAGACCACACACCCAGAGCCTCCCTCCCAGCCCCCTCCCCTCCCCAGTCACCAACCTCTCTCTGATGCCCCCTTCCAACTAGTGAAGAATTCTGCTCTCCTGTCAGCCCTTGCAAGTGAAGAAGGTGGGTGTCTACTGGGTGTCCCCACGTTTCTTCTACTGCTGTGACTGGGGGGCCCCTGCAGGGGTGTGCTGGGGGGACACGGCCTCGCCCTCCTGGCATCCTTCCCATTGCTGGAAGACTGGCAGGGGTGGGGGCACCTTCCCACACTGTGACTCAGCTTCCCTGGTATTCAGTGTCCTGGCCAATCTTGACACTTTGCTCATCAGGGACTGCAGGTCCCAAGGGGTGGGAAGAGGGACTGGCTTCCATGAACTACATTCCAGGGTGGGGGGCTCTGCCCCTTCGGCCACACTCCCAGATGAACCTGGCAACGAGGGGTGAAGGTAGAAAGTAGAAGGATTCTAGGAATGTGAGAAGAAGAAGAGCATACCAGGGAGGAGAGAGTGTGTCAGATAGTGGGTTCGAACCAGGTGGGCAGCAGGTGCCAAGGACAGGGAGTTGGGAGACCCAGATGCCCCTTATTCTGGAGAGCTTATGGGCTTGGAGAATGGAAAAGTTAAGAGAAAGGATTTCCGGACCCCCGTGGGAAAGGGTCAGGGGGTCAGTGAGAGGCAGGAAGGCTGGTTCAAGTCCTGTACGGAGGGGCCAGGACTTGAGCCCGAGGCAGTGTGAGGAGTGGAGGTGCCAGGTCCTGAGGGAGGAACCGGAGCGGGCGGGGCTGAGGTCCGGGAAGCAGAGGCGGGGCAGACGGCAGCTGTGGTGTTTCCGAGCTGCTTCCGAGGAGTTCCCTTCAGTTCCACTTCCAGTTGTTTCTCTGCCATTAAATTCTTTCCAGGCGAGATAAGGGGCCCGCCCGCCCCACCGGGGTGTGTCACGTGTGTCTGCGTGGTGGGGGGGAGGTCAGACGGACAGAAGCAGGGGGAGCCTGGATGGGGACGGAGTCAAGTCGGAGCCCTGTGCCTTCCTGGGACGTCTCCCAGCCACGCTAGCCCTGCTGAACCGTGAGTCCCGGGCGCACTGCTCTCGGCCAAAAACAGTTTCAGGATCGTGCTCTGCACCTTTCCCAGACCCCAGCGTCCTGGCTGCCCCATTTCTGCATTTCCTGATGGCTCCAGACTCCCCAGACTCCCTCCCAGGTCCTGAAACTCAGGTGCTGCCACCTGCGGAGCTCCCGCTGGCACCTCCTGCCCCGGCACTTGGAATTTCCACCTGCACTTCCCTCGCAGGGCTCAGCTGCCCCCAGCTCAGCCTAGCCTGGCCCTCCCCCAGCCCCAGCACCTCTACAGCCCAGGGGCCATCTCACTGCAGCTGCCGCCGCTTTCCAGCCACCACCTGAGTCCAGAGTCCCTTGGTGTTTGTCCCTGACCCCTCTCAGGTGTGCGCATCTCATCCAAACTCTGGCGTTCTCCCGCCAAGACACACACACACACACACACACACACACACACACACAGCCTGTCCTTCCAGACACACCCTCTGCAGGAGTCTCGTCCCTGTTGGCCTTCCCACCTCCTTTGAAGAGCAAGTCACTGCCCCAGGAGGCACTCTGAGCAGCCTTCCTGCTGTCCTAGGGACAGAAGAGAACCCCCTCGCCTCTCCCTGCTCGCGGATCTGGTCTCCCTGTTCCTTACCTGGGCAACGGGGCAGCTGCAGTGCCTCTGCACCTGCTGTCCCCAGTCCTGGAAGGAAGCTGTCTCAGGGCAGGGCAGGGCAGGCTCCCTGAAGGTCCCCCTCGCTTGTGCCCTGCAGCAGAGGCTCACGGAGCCCTGACCACGACTGAGCCAAGCTTGGATCTCGGCAGCGACACAGAAAGGGAGGGAGCCTGCAGCGAGCAGGGGGAGGAGAAGGGGAGGACCAGCATGAGGTCAGGGAGGGGAGCGGAGATAGGGCAGGTCCTCCCACCCCTGCAGGCCCTCCTGCACGCCACCCCTCCTCTCCTCCGGTCCCCTCCCTGTCTGTCCCCCCACAGCCTCACCTTGCTGGTCTCACCACCCCTGTTCTTCCCCCATCCCATAGGAAACTCCTTTCCCTCACCCTGCTTTCTGCCCAACTGGACGGTCTGTCCTCAGGCTGTTTCATGCTTCCGACCACTTGCCACCTGTCGCCCAGTTCTTCTCCTCCCTGCCCACACCTTTCTCAAGGCTGGCCCCTCTGCAGCCTCTCCCGGGCTCCCATCCCTCACTCCAGCCACTGCCGTTCCAGCTGTTCCAGCTCCAGCGTGCTTCTCAATCCATTTGTCTGCCGCCCCACGCCTTCAGCCGTCTGATTTCCACCAGGCAGTGCAGGGCGGGGAGCAGAGGCGGGGGTGGGAGGCATCCTTGGGCCTGAGCCCCTCTGCCACGTGGAACCATCCAGGAACCATCCATCCTACGGCGCCCACCTGGCTGCCCCTCCCTGCCAGTTCTGCCCAGTCCCTTTCCTGTCCTCAATTCAGGATCACTGCTGCCTTTTCGTTCTTCCACCTCAGCAAATTCCTAGAGAAACAGCAGGAGCGGCTTGGGCTGAACACCAGGACGCACACATCTAAGACTTGGGGAGGAATCTGGGGTTCAGGGGGACGAGGAAGGCAAGGCTGAAGGTTAGGAAGAAAGTGTAGGGATGACAAACGAAGGAGGCAAATATGGGGTGGGGTCCACACATGGAGGGGTGAAGCTGCAGGGGGCAGGAACGCAGTGGGGAGAGAGTGAGGGGTTGCACAAAAAGAGCACGTTGGTCTCAGGCGGTGAAAGACCCAGGGGACGGCAGACAGGACGGCTGGGGAGGCAGGCACAGATCATGTGTCTGTGGGGGTTTCCTGCAGCCTCATTTTTCCACCACTGCCCTCACAGGGGGCTCCACACTGACTGAGTTCTTCCTGCCCCACCGCCACCTCACCACCCGGGTGCCCTTGGCCAAGACACAGGTGATGGGGAGAGGGACAGGAAGGAGTCTCCATGTGCCTGATTCTGCCAGCTGGGTTAGGGCACAGCTGTCTACATCCACAGCTCAGGTGTGCCAGTGCTTCTGGGCAGGGCGTGTGGCTGGGGCAAGATGCCGTGTTAGATCTGTGTGGCACAAATGGGCTCTCGCATGGGTGTCCCCGTGTGTCCATGTCTGTATTTTTCCTGGCTTTGATGGAGACAATGAAGTCATCATGTTGGACAGAGCTGGGCTCTGCTTCCTTCCTCTGCCTTGGCCTGAAGCCCCCAGAACCAGGGGGTGGTAACAGCCTCCCTCGGACCTCCTGATAGGGGCTTGGGGGACAGAAACCGAAAAGGTGAGGGTCTCGAGACCAACACACGGGAGAGCAGACCACACGGAGCAGGTATCTGTTCCACGGCCACGGCCACTTCCCCCCATGCCCTGTCTTGGCTTTCTTGTTTGGGAAGTATGGTCATCGTAGGTTCATGTGACCCAGACTCTGGTCAGAAGCAAGAGCCGGAGGATGGCCCCAGAGGCTTTGGAAGCCGCTGCTGAGGACTGGCTGCTGTGGGGGGTGGGGTCTCAGAGCGGAACGGGGCACAGCATTTCTGGAAACCCCCAGACACTTGACAGATTTCAAGTTCTGAAGTAATCACTGCTAACACTGGGTTCACCTCTCGGTTTCAAGGTCTCGGTGGAACTTGTGCCTTCTACATGTCTGCATCTCATCAGGAGAGCACCGAGCCTGCGCCGTGCAGGTGCGCCAAGGGCTCGTCAGCAGCAGTAGAGAGAGCACTGGGAGGGAGTGTGTCTAGTAGGGAGCCACAGGCGCGAGGCTCTCCCGAGGGTTGGTGGGAAGGTCCCAGGGCCGTCCAGGACTGTCATGCACTCTGGCTGTTCTCTGGATCCTCGGGACAAGGGTCTTCAGCTCGGACCTCCACCCTTGAATGATCTTCCAAGTTGCTGGCCTGACTTCAAGAGGCTGAGGGATAACAGATGCAGAAAAGAAGAAACAGAAAGACAGGGCGACCGGAAGGAACAGCAGCGTCAGGGCAACTGAGGGCGAGGACCTGAGGGATAAAGAGGGGAACGAGGAGAGGCCGGGGGGCTGCGGTCCAAGCACGCGGTCCCAGAGAGGGCTGAGACACACACAGTTGTGCTGGGCTTCCGTTGACAAGCAGTTTTTATTAATCCCGCTGTGCGCTGAGCAAAGAGCAGCCAGCTCCCAGGCATTAAGTGGCTCATCCAGGGCACTTTGCTCATGGTGGCGTGGTGGGGACAGGGATCTCCCCAGGCTTGCTGGTTTCAAAGCCTGTATTCTCTCCCTCCTCCCCACAACAGCTCCGGGAAAGGAAGGGATTGAAGACAGCAGACACACAAGTGAAGTGGCTCCCGGAAGGGCTCTGCGGGGAGAAGGCTGTAGAAGCTGACTGCCGGAGACCTGCTCTGCATCGAGTTATAGTGTGGTCTCAGAAGAAATTAACACAAGACGGCTGTGTGGGGGTTCTAGAGGAGGTGGACGGAAGAGAGCACAGCACCAGCAGGCAAGGGAGACATGGGCGAGAGGGTCACAGGAAAGCTTGGACCTGAATGGACCCCGCAGAACTCCCTGTCTAGAGACATGGGTGTGGGGCAAAGGGAGGGGGAGGACATTGCTATCTCGTGACAAAAGAAAGTCACACAATTGTTTTCCTCTGCGCTCTGGGCCGGGTGGGCGCCTGTATTTACCAGAGGGACTGAGGTCGCTGTGGCAACCACACATCTGGGCCCCGGAATCCAGATGTGCTGCATCCAGAAGCCATAGCAGAACGATGAGGCAAACATCATGCTCCCCAGCACCGGCCCCCGCAGCTGGGACGAGGACAGGGGATTGGCGTGGGGAAGTGAAGGGAGCAGGGGGAGGAAGGAGGAGAAGACGGGCTGGGGAGCAGAGGGGAAGCGATGGAGGGACCAGGATGTGGACAGAGCAGTGGGAAGGAAACAGAGGGGTGGCCAGAACCAGGGAGGAAGAGCAGGAAGCAATGAGAAGACCCAGACAGGGACAGGGAGGGAAACAGGCAAGAAGAAACCGACCCAGAACAAAGCTCCAGGCACACAGCTGTGATCAGCTGTGGGGGTGATGGTAGAGTGTGAGGAAAGGAGTCGGGAGGGACGACGGGGCAGGGAAGACGGAGCCCAAAAGGCAGGGATCCCCAGGGTCCCTCAGGACAGGGAGGGGTCGCTGAGGTGACCCTGGGTGGGGTGTGGCCAGAGGAATGGAGAGCCACACAGGCCTGGGGGTGGCAGCCCAGGGCCTGCCTTCATTCCCTGCAGAAGACCTGTCTCCACATCTCTCTCAACACTTGCTACCAATCTGCTCCCTTGATCGGAAGGTCTGACCCCAGCTTCACACAAGAGTGCCGGCTGTCTGTCTCTGGCCAGTCCCCGAGGTACAGAGAGCCCCTGGGGTGGGAGGCAGGCACTTCTAGCACTTTCCCCGAGTGGGAAGTGTCCAGACGGACACAGAGCAATGGGAAAATGAACAGTGACGGACCCAGATGGGATGAAGGTGGAACAGATGGAAACGGACAGTGTAAATGGCAGGGAAAGTGAGGGCTGAGGAAAGGGGTCTACTGTGCCCCGGCGCTGCAGCCGCCACCTCTCAGCCTACGTCACCGAGGAAGCTGGGGGAGCATCCCACTTCACAGGCGAGGGAACGAAGGCTCGGATGTTTCAGGATACCCACTAACAGAAGGCAAGGCAGGGCAGCCAGCTCAGGTGAACTGTTCCCCAAGCCCTAGTTCTCACTGCACGTACTACCCGGAGAGTGCTGGCTACGGTTCGTGGGGCCCTGGGACAGGAAGCCTGGCTGAGGAGCCAGGGCTGCCCTCTGGAGGGAGGAGAGGTCTAGTTCCTGGGAGCCCCAGTTCCAGGTTGCCATGGCCACCGGGTCTGTTTTCACCCCAAACACAGTAAAGGCCGGCTGGGGGGTTGTGGGGAGAGTCTGGCCGGCCACGTGAGGTTCCTTCTCCCTTCTTCAGGCCTGGGCTTATGGCCCGGGCAGCCCCTGTCCAGTCATCCGGGCGTGGAGCCCAGGCCCGGCTCACACCCTCCAGCTGACCCAGGCCGCTCCTGCAGGGTCAGGCCTGAGGCACCGCTGGACGGGGTTCCCTCCAGGTTGGGCTGAGCCTCAGTCTCTCACTTCGCCCGGCTGCCTTTCCTCTGAATGAAAACGCACGCCTGTTCTGCCTGAGTGGATTCTCGGGGCTCAGTCTCCTCCATTTTAGGGAGAAGAGGATGTCTTGAAACACCCTCTCCCTCCCTCCCGAATACCACCCCTTCCCCACTGCGGCCCCTCCTGCAGGGCTGCGAGCCAGCTGGCCCCAGCGCTCCTTGTTTGTGTGAGCTTCTCATCCTGGAAAGCAAGGGAGAGAGGGAGGGAGAAGCTGCGGGGGAGCGGGGACGCAGGCAGGCCGCGCCCCCTGGCGGGCGTGGGGCTCCCCTGCCTTCCTGTTTACTGAGATCTGTCGTCTTGCTGTCTCGCGTGGGGCAGCCCTGCTACACACAGACGTACCCTGGGGCGGCAGGGTGGGGCCGGGGGATGACATGAGGTCTGCGAGCCCACACCCACCCCACCCGAGGGCCGGCTGTGCCTCCAAGTGCTTGCTCCTTTGATGCTGGCCCTACATGAACCACTTGCCCCCACACGCCCCGTCCTGAGCCAGGAAGGCAGCCACCATTCCTTTGACTCCCTCCACGTTGTTTATTTAATAATAAAAAACAAGATATGCACACACGTAAACCCCATCTCCCTCCACCACCACCCCTCCTATATTCCCGGGAACTAGCTCAAAATGTAAAAAAAAATAAAATAAAAAATTCCCTTGTCCCACCTGGGGACCAAATCCCACCTCCACCCCGAAAAATGAGAAACCAAAGAATAGGGAGTCGCAGGGGCCCTCCCACCTCGAAACAGAACCTCACTGAACACTGTCCAAGAAGAGGCAGGGCCTGGGGCGCAGAGCAACGCGGGGAGCCTGTATTTTGAGAAGGGATGCGGCTGGGCCTCCTCAGCTGGGAGCAGGGCAGCCCCTCAGGGTCCCAGCTGCCCCCGTGCTCAGTCGGCGTGCGTGGAGGCTCAGGGGTGATTGAGGTAGAGGGGCGGGGGGGAGGCCTGTCGGGCCTGGCCGGCTGCCGACGCCGTGGTGTTGCCTGGGGCCTGGGCAGGCTGCTTGCGCAGCGAGGGGGGCACCGTGGAGGTCTTGATGTGAATCACCCTGGTGTCCATGACCTCGCACTCGATCTGCATCATCTCTTCATAGTCCCCGGAGGCTCCCCGACCCGACAGGGTCTCTATGAGAAGGGAGAGACAAATGGGGGCAGGGGGGTGTGAGAAAAGGTGAGAGGGGCAGGCCCACAGTGGGAGTTGCGTTGGGGATGGAGTTGGGTACAGGGAGGAGAGGGATAGGAAGCGAAAACGCCATTGGAGAGTGTGAGGTCAGAGAGAGGGCATGAGGAGGAAAGAGCAGGTAGAGCCTGCAGGTTCCCCCAGCCCCAACGCCCCAGCATCTCCGAGGGGAGGGGCCCACACGCTCCTCTTGGCCCATCGTGTGTCCTCTTGCCCACTTGAAGCTTTCTCACCTGGGAGCCATGCCCCCTGCCCTCAGCCCCCCTTGCTGGCTCTCCCTGTGAGAATGCCCCCTGCCCCATCCTCGCTCTCAGGCCCCCTCCCCACGATTACCGTTGGGGGCCATGGCAGGCATCACCAGGGACATCTTAGGCCGGGAGGTCTTGTTGTGGCTGATGGCGGGCAGCAGCAGGTGGTCCTGAGACACAGGGGAGGAAAAGATGCCGCAGCCCCTCCCCCAATGCGGCCCCACTCAGGACAGGGTGTGCAGAGCCCAGGGTCGAAGGTGCGCGAGGGGAGGAAGGACTCACCCTTCGGAAGGAAACAACATAAAAGGTGTCTTCCCGCCGGTCGATGGCATCCAGAAACTCTGGCTGCGAGCGGTCGGGGCGGCGGTAGAGCTGCAGCTGGCCCTCGGAGTTCCTAGCAGGCGGGGAGACGGCATTTGGGAGGAACTAAGGCCCATGCCCTGTTCCCACTGGGGAGAGGGGGAAGAGGGCGAGAGAAAGGGAAACAGGAGACCCCCCGCGGGTGAGGGAGGCACAGGACGGCTCCGGGAAGCACAGCTCTTGAGAGCGGAACCCCATTTAACGAGCACTCACCTTTCTGGGGGGCCCAGGGGTTGGGTGGGGATTGTCCTAACTGGAGGCGATTTCTTCCGCGGCTGAGCCTTCTAGAAGGAGAAGTATCTAAGGATTTGGAGAGGGTGAGGGGAAAGGGGAAAGAGACAGACGGCCCCCTGGACGCCGACGCCACCTCATACCCGACCCTCTACTTCTCCAACAACCCCTCACTGAAACGCCTGCTAAATGGCTTCGGGTGGCCTGTCTGCCACCGGCCCACCCCCTCCTACCTGTCTCTCCTGGGCCCTCTGAGGGGTCTTCCGCCGGCCTCTCTGGTGGCGCTGGACCCAGCCACTGAGCTCGTCGGCAAGCCTGGGGAAGCGCAGGAACCATCACGACTCTGGCGGGGCCGGGACACCCACCTCCCTGGGCCGTACCCAGGAGGGTGAGGAGGAGGCGGGGGAGCCGGCGGCAGCGGGAAGGGGCCCTGGGCCTGAAGCCCCCACCTGAGGGACTCAGTGCGGTTGAAGTGCCGGCAGTCGGAGGAGAGGAAGAGCTGGTCCAGGTCTCTCAGCAGGAGCTCCTTGGTGCCCCCAGGGAAGGCGGTCAGGTTCCTGGAGTGGGGCAAGTCAGTGGGGGTGGGGGTGAGGGGAGGCAAGGGGAGAGAGCGCCCGGTGCTGTGTCCCCAGAGGAAACAAGGATGGCAGGACAGCAGCTGTGCCTGCCCACAGAGCAGCTCCTGGGGAGACTCACTCGTGCCCCCTAAAGGACAGGGCCCCCTCCCCTCACCTGAAACTGGGCTGGCCTGCAGGGCTGGCCTGGGGCTCCTCGGGGCCTCGGGAGGACCCCTGGGTGCGCTCAACCTCCTGCACTGGCTCTTGCTCCGAGAACTCCAGCAAGTGTCTCTGGGGCCGAGGCTGCTCCCTGGCCATCCGCGGAGCGGCGGGGGCTGAAGGAGGCTCATTGATGCTGGGGGCAAGGCAGGGCAGAGTGCGATGAAGGGTCTCAGCGTTAGTAAGAGGGAGAGAGCGAGGGCTCCGCACACAGACCGCGTGGCGTCTGGTCTGCTCCTAAACCCGAGTCTTCTGTGAGGTGGAACAAGAATGGCCCCCACCTCACAGGCCCCAGGGACACAGGAGAAAAAGAGCGTCCACCCGAGAGCCTGGAGCTCAGGAGCGCTTCACGGTCACCGCTGTCACCGGTGTCATCGCCATCGCCCACCCCAGGATGTGGCCTCCGGGGAGTGATGACGGAGCAGGGAGGGACTGGCCGGCCACCCCACCGCTGCTGCCAACACACAACATCCTGTGGGTGTGTGGGAGAAGAAAGCGAGGCAGCCGTGGGGCTGGGGAGTGAGGAGGGTCTCACCTGACAGGTCCAAAGTTGAAGGCAATGAAGAGAAGGAAGACCATGATGCAGACCACCTTCCGGTTTCCGGAGCCCAGCTTGAGCTCACTGTTCTAGGGTGCAGGGAAGAGACAAGAGACAGGCGTCACCCCACGACCGTGGAGGCCACCTTCCGGGCGTCCCCAGGCCGGGTCTGCCCTACCTCGGCCAGCAGGGCCTCCAGCCGCCGGCGGAGGGCAGCGTTCTCCCGGCGCAGCTGCTGGTTGTCGGCCAGCACGGCCTGCAGCCGCGCCTCCAGCCCCTGCAGGTACTCCTTCTTCTTCCTCCGGGACTGGCAGGCCGATTCCCGGTTCTTGATCATCCGCTGCTGCCGCTTCAGCAGCTTCGCCTAGGCACCGGGGTGGAGTGGGGGGCACACATCAAGAGAATGAACGATGAGTCGGAGGGCGGGGCCACGCCCCCAGACCTGGGGACCGGTCAGCACAGGGCCACTCTCCTGCCTCTCTGACCTCCACCTGCACAGCCACGGATGGATCTTACCACGAAAACACTGAGGAGCCCTTCCCTGTGACCGTTCCTCAGAAATGGGGGAAGTCAGACTGCGGGAGGAGCTGCCTCTGTCCCGGGGGACCCCTCTCCTAGGTGGTCTTCCTTCTCAGTCCTCCTTTTCAGGGCCCCAAGCTTAACTTTGCTCTAATTAAAGAGGGTTCCTTCCCCTAACCACTGCCAAACAATGATTTCCCAAGACCACCCCCATTCCTTCCACCTGCAGTGAGAGCAAACCTAAGAACTGGAAAGTCACCCGCAGTCACTACTCAAACAGAAACAGGGGTGCACTCTGACCCCCAGATCACATTCTGGGGCTGCCCCCCCCCCCCCCCCCCCCCATCGCAAGCCCTGCTCCTCCCGTCCCCAGTACTGACGTCTACTTCAGGCGGGCAGGAGTTCCCAGGCATGGGAGCCGGGACGATGCTCTTCCTCTCAGGCCTTGGAACAGGGGGGACTGGCCCTTCAGGCTGGACTCGGATAGCACCCTGGATGAGGACAACTGGGGACACTGGGGCAAGAGGGAGGCCAGAGAGCTGGGAGTCAGGTGGGGTCCTGGAGTACACTGCACACCCAAGCACCCAAGGCTGGGAGCATGACAAGCTCACGCCCGCCTGTGTGCTTCCCTCGAGTACCTGCAGGTGGCTGGACGAGGGGCTGCAGGAGGACAGCGGTACTGGGAGGCACAGCTCGGGGTGGCATCGGGACAGTGGTTAGCACCACAGGTTTAGGCTGCAGCGGTGGCTTCCGGGGGGGTGGGGCTCTGTCTATAGCAAGGGGAGAGGAAGGAATGTCAGGACCACAGGCCGCTCACCAGAGACCCCAGAGTGGGGCAGGAGGCCCCAATACCTGAAGAGCCATCCGAGGATGGGCCCATGCTGATCTGGACAGCTCCAAATGAGGGCGCGGGCACATCCCAGACCAGGCATCCCGGAGGCGACGGGGACTCCGTCTTCACCTCCAGCACCTCCTCTCCTAGGAAAGCCTGCATGGGCGTGGTGGAGGCGTGTCAGTCAGGAGGGGGTCGCGGAGGGGTCGAGGGAGGAAGGAAGGCGAGCACTCAGCCCGGCACCTGTGGGGAGGAGGGGAGGCTGGCGCTCACCTGGTGCGGGGTGTCTGCTGAGAGCAGGGAGGCCTCAGAGTGCACCGAGGAAGAGGGAGAGACAGGTTCTGTCTTGGTCTGGACGTCTGGGGGGTGGCAGGACGAGACAAAAAGCGGGGCATCAGAGCCACAGGAAGGGGAAGAGATTCGTTAGGATGGGCAAATGGGTCCTTTCTCTCTGCACCTAAAAATGAGAGGATCGCGGCGCGAGGCAGGCAGTCCGGGAGGAAGAGCCACAGAGCGGCGCACCTGCCGGCTCTCCTGCCTCTCCTTCTTCAGCGGCTCCTCTCATTTCCCCATCGCTGCTCAGTTTTCCTCAGGGTGCCCTTGCCCTTCTGCGCTCCCCTCTTTCTTCCTCCTGGACCTTAACCATTCACACAGAAGAGGCCCAGGCAGGGGCAGTCTCCAGCCTGCATA